GGGGGTCTGTGGGGAAGAGAACCTGCCATACAAACCTATAGAGGAGACTGATAAAGAACATGGTGGCATTTCCCTCTATCCGAAAAACAGCAGCGGTAATGCAATGTTGTGTCTAATGCTGTCAGAGCCTTGATCGTCCTCACTAGAAAGTACAACCTTGGCTATATTGAAGTTACACATATTACAACAAAATACTGCTTTCCCAGAAATGTTTGCACTTTTGACAAAATAAGCGGTTTTCATAATGAGACCATTTTAGTTATTTTCACTTTGCCAGTCTCTTTGATGGCTATGACATGGCAAACTTTGACACTGCTCATTTTCTCATTAGTGCCTTCACAGCAAACCCTTGATTCTGAAGGTTTTTATGATGGGTTTGTGTCCATCCTGTGACCACAACAGAGCGCACCTAGAATCCACTGATGATGTAATAACCTGGTCAGTCTGTATTCAGGTCCGCTGTCCACTGATTAATATAATGGTGAAAATAGGCTTGGTACCATAACAAATTTTGAAGTGCGATATATTGCTTAAGTAAACACAGACGAAATAACACAAAAACTGTACTAAAAGTACAATACTGTTAAAACAATGAGCTGTAGAATGAAACACTTAGAATGAAACACTTTAGTACTTTAGTTTGCATCTGTAATGAGTCAAAGAAGTTATTCATTTAACCTTTTACATCTTAAATCTTACATAGCCAAAAAATGACTAAAAATGTTCAAATTCTGTTCTATTCTATTGCAAAGGAAATGTACACGATAAGTATCGATGCCAAAAAAATATAGTTCCAGTTCTCATATAAATGAAGAATAACTTGATATAGTAATTATTGTGACAGGTGTAGGTGAAGATTCATAAATGTCCTGACATCTCTTGCTATGTTGCTGTAACAGTGTGTTGGTATAACCATAATCAGTAATGACAGAGAGGCACACACATAGGTCAGAGCAATTGGAGGGAACTTGAAGGGACTCCATAAATATTTATCTGAGACATCAAGGCATCAACTTAAGATAAAAAAAAAGAAAAAGATCTGTGATATGCACTGTCATTAAGTCAAAACTAAAACAAAAAAGTTTGGATTTGGTCAATAAAGGCCTACAATATTCCTAAGATTTCTTTGGCATAAAGATCAGTATGGAAAGGTTTTGCAGCCCATTGTGAGTAATATATTTTGCCTCAGTCACAATTTCTGTGACATGTTGTGCTTTTGTCTGCTATATAGTCATAATATAAGAGACCTGTGGATCATTTTGCTGGACATTTTAAATCACTATATTGATTTAATTAAGAAACAACTCCACTGACTTCCAGGTTGCAGTATGTCGGCATAAACGTCATTACAACAAAGTGGCGCTCTGCTGGACCGTACTGTTGGTCTTTCCTATGGATAGCTGCAGATCAACCGAGCAAGCAGATTTTTTTTTTTCCATTTGTGCCAAAACGGCTACACGATGGTGCAGAATTTGACTGTATGTTGTTTCCTCCACTTGTTCTGCAGTTTAAGAGCCATCACTAAGCAACGGTTGCCTGTTGCAGTCCAGCTGCTCTGATTAGTTGTTATAAAGTTTATCGACAGTTGAGTGACAGTTGTAAATATCCAAAAGGAAAGCTTAAGATTTGAGCTTCTGGAGCAGAATTGCACTGACCCGACAGACATGAGGAGTGCCATAACAAATTCAATTATCAATTATGAGAAGCACTACTCAGGCCTTCCCAAAGTTGTGGCAAATCGGCCTTAATATCAGGCTAAATATCTACTAATGCGGAGCATGTTTTTAACAGGTAATTATTTACAACTATATGCTTCTTCTGACATTAGTCTAATATATTTTGAGGCTCAATATTAATCGTGTCATGTATCTTCTGTTCAATAGTGGTGAGATTTTTGCCATTACTGTATATTTAAAATATGGTTTACTGGGATTATCATGCTTTGTGCAAAATGCTTTGTGCAAATGGCATTAGTAGTTTCAGTATTATTATTTATCCCAATATTTGTCTGTAGCAATACATTTTGTGATTTAAAATGTCTTATCGTAACAGGCCTATCTGAGAGGTTGAACGTCACTCTGGTTGGTTAAATCTACATTTAACCCTTAGTTCACTAGCTAGGACCACGCCAACAACGACATAATGCGAAGAAGTTTATTGATAATGTACGAAGCGAGGCAGAGATGGCTGGGTTGAGACTATGGGTGGGGGACATAACTTGACAGAGGCTGAATAATAAAAGGAGTGGTTGGGAAAAGTATGTTGGAGCATGGAGCGCCATTAAATCACAACATGATTGTGGCATAAAAATAGCAGGAATTAGATCACTATCCAATTAATACATTACATTTTCTCATATGTTTAAAACATTGGGGGCAGGATTTGATCAAAATCTATGTTACACCTATAAATTAAAGGCTGATTACAATACAGCTATTTAGATATAATTACACATTTTGTTCACATTTCATCAGTTTTGGCCTGTCATAACAAAATTTGAAGTGTGACATTGCAGAGCAAATCATATGTCATATGAACAATACTGAAACTACCTCAACAGACACAATAATAAACAAAACAGGATTAATCCAGTAAAACCCTTTTCTAATACTTAAAAACACACACACACAAACATAAGATGCAAGAAATAAATAACAAATAAACACCTTAGTACTCAGTTATCCAGTAACTCGTTCAACAGTTTTAATCTTAAAACTTTTTTCCCACAAGTGTAAAGAAAATATACACATATTAATGAGCCCCAAAAGTTGATATAGTAAATATTGGGTCTTAATTAGATTTTTAAGATTATGAAATATTTCTTATGCATTATTTTCAGTAAAACATTAGTTCCATGCAAATTACCCTTATTTTATGATTATTGTATACTCTTCAGTAGTCCAGTGTAACCTTTAGTGGTTGTAGATTGGTGGCAAAAGAAAAAAGAAAACTACTACAAGATCTTTCTCCTGAGAACTCAAGAATATTGCAGCATTCTGCTCTTTTTTACTGAATAAATGTCCATTGCTAGCCTCTTATTATGTTCAGCCATCACTCGCCCCGCAAAAGCCACATTTGATGAGATAAATAAAGCAGAGTTAATGCTGAGCGACTTAATTAAATGGGCAGTTAATCTGTCTAAAAAGTGATCCAACATGCACATAGTAAAGCCTATCCTGTTCTCTGAGGACAGCACTATGTTCTGCTTTTTTAATTCTAAAAGGTCTGTAGTGCATGAACGTGAGACTGAATATAAGTATAAATGTTATTACTGCAACTAAATGGGCACTGGTAATAAGTATTGAAAAAGTCTGTACAAGAATAAGCAGGAGTCAGGCCAACTCGCCTATGGCTATATTTTCATTAGATAAGAAACATTGTCGTATTAGGATAAAGTGTGACTGCTTGCGGGCCATATTGCGTAAAAGCTGCATACAAGCTAAAGAGGTGTATTAAATAAGCTTTCATAGCGTGTAGAGGATTAAATGGTTATGAGCTTTATTTAACTGGGTTTGTGTGTCAAACGAGATAGTTTTGTCCCTCATATTCACCAGATAGACAAGGAAAGGCACTGGACGAGTCAGTTTTCAGGAAAACAGATCGGACAGAGACAGAATAAAACCTCTGTGTTCAGGAGGAGAACTTGTCAGCACTCAACAATGGCTCCAGGCTGCACTTTCACTGAGGACCTACAATATACACATATTTTAGAGTCCATGTTTGCAATCTCAGTGGCAAGCAACTGGAGTCACACTGGACATACATATGACATTTTAAAACAAAGGTGTGTGTATACGTTGGAGCAGAACTTTAACGATAGACTTTAGTCAATACATGTATCTATCAGGTTAGTGGCTATTTCTTCAGTCTTCATAATCACCAAATAACAAGTTTCATAACTATTACTGTATCTACATCTGATATGACCCATCTTTCTTTGATGGCATTTAAGAATTCATTCAATTCTGCTTGTCTGCTCCAACAATAGAATAAGGGACCACTCCCATGGGCTGTTGTCTAGTCGATGTGTAAACATTAGCTATAGTTGTCCAACAAAACCTGCAGACATGAGTATTTTAGCACTGACTATGCCTTCAGAAACCAAAACTTGGTGTAAAAAGTAAGTCCATTTTTATTTAGTTAATGTGACACTGATTTCATTTGGTATGTTTCTCTCACACTGTGCAGCCCAGAAGTGAGTCTGTTCTGATTGACATAACAGCAAGCAGGTTGTGATTGTGGGCAGGATCTGGAGTGGGATTGGTTTGGATGGTGGTGGAAAAAGTTTTGGTTAGACTACAGCAGTTGAAATTCAGTGTTGAGTAGGCTGCCACAAGCGGTTACTTTGACATTTTATGAATTTGGACAAACTGGGACCAATAACAGATCCTGCACCAATGCAACACATAAGATCAGAATCCTGTTATGGAAAAAAAGAGGTCAAATTTATACATCCAAGCTTGTGCAGGAGTAAAGAAAGCATGGGGAATTGGATGTATGAACTTTCGGTCAATATTAATAACTACATTGATGACAACGGCAACAGCTCTGCAATCTTGCACCTTACACCTTAAAAAAATAGAAATTTTACTTTAGCATAAGCTAATCTATTATTATATGATGATCCACAAACTCAGGGTGGGCTAAATGTTAAGCAAAATTGTCTCATTACTACCGCAAATTAAACGAACCAAACTGCCTGGCAGGAAAACAACTTTTCCAAGACTTAATAGGTCATTTTTCAGCCGTGAGAACACTGCCTACAGTGTGCCAAGAGGAGCATAATGTTATTAGAATGGCTCAATCAAGCGAACCGTGTGTTCGCTGGGATTGCATGGAAGTGACTCAGAGAAAAATACACTTCATTTAGTTTGGTCTAAACAGGTTGGTTACAGAAAATTACAGGAAAAGTAATGTAATCCAGTTTCAAGCAGAAATGCGAGTAGCGGAATTATTACCCAAACCGACTGGCAAGTGTGCAGAGAGAGGCACTCACTCACCTTGCCCCGTGTACAGACGGAGAACCGCGGCTGCGCTCCTCCACACCGCGACGGGAGCACGCTTTTCCTCTTCGTCCGGGGCTCCGTCAGCTCACAATCACAGCGCTTTTACCGCTTCTGGAGCGCACCACTTTCGGTGATGAGTAGTCCACACATACGCAAGTCACAAACTTAAAAATTTCCTTTTGCACACAGTGTTGCAGAATTGTTCCATAAAAAGAGAAGAGTTCGCCTGGAGTTTGCCCACTGTGCTGAGGTCTCCAAGCAGGTCCCAGTCTCATCCAGGTCCAGCCCCCCGGCAGTGCTCAGAGCCCGCCCCGCTCCCGCCTGCTCCCCACTAAAAGAAAAAATCAGGAAAATGTTACATGCTGCATTCAGGGTCTATCGGTTTTCGTAAAACCATGTCGCTATAATCCGTAAAATAAACCTAATAGGTTAATAATTCTGGCCAAGGCATAAACGCAACTTGTTCACCGCTAAAGTAGGCAAACTTTTCTTCACTTACTGTAGAAATTTACCTCGAATATTAGAGGTCTTCATGAAAAAAAAAGTTTAGTGTAAAATGTAGGTCTACCCACACATCTGTTGTTATCTCTAACAAGATTTGAATTGTAGGCTATTTCCATAGAACTATTATGGATCCATGGCTATTTCCTTACGAATCCAAGAAAAAAAGACAGGGAAAATTTTTTTATTTGCTGACCCCTAGCGGCCGACAGAGATCGGCGCTAAATACCATTTGAAAAATCCAATTTGTAAACTTTACAGATTGTAGATAATATCAATATCCAATGTGAAATTTCGTTTGAATATAATTGTTGGAATGTTCAGATTATTTATTTATTGTTTATTTCAGACGCCAAAAAAAATATCAAAAAAAAAAAAAGATCCAATAGTCTAGGCCTATTGCCATCGCCATAAAAAAAACAACACAATTTATAGCATCAAGCACTGCAAGTGCAATAAGCAATAATATCTAGCATTTATTTCATTTCATTTCATTTATTTTATTTTCATTTCAATTATTTATAAAAAACAAACAAACAAAAAAAAAAAAAAAACAAATACGCAGTCTTGTGGCAGACCCCCAACAAGAAAAGTAAGCCTTAGCAGTATGGTGGATGTAATATAATGAGTAGTGCACAAAATAAAACAATCCAGCAGGCGGCGTCATCAGTCTTGACATTAAAATGTCTCTGAACACACAACCTACAGCTGTTATGGCAAATGCCTCTTAGAGAAATAAAGCGTGTCTTAATAAAGCCTGACATTTTCAATGTAATAAATTGGTCCGGGTTTTTCATTATTATGATTAAGTTTTGTTTAATCCATGTGTAAAGGTCAAGTTAGCTCTTATATACATTAACACGCAGTTTATGGCATTTAATTGTAAGGTTGCGCTTTTATTTTGATAACTTCCGGTGTGAACGGAAGTGAAGGAAAAAACGTTATAAAGAAACGACGCACAGTAAACACGGCAACGTTAATAGTGAAAATCAAAACAACGGAGAAAAGTTATATAAAACAAAGTAAAGATAGCTACAGTCGACAGGGGAACAAGGTTTGTTTGACTTGTTAATGTATATTTGAACTTCTTGTCACTTATATCAAATTAATGTTAAATATGGATAACGGTTAAGCAATGTAATGAGCTAGTGATGCTGTAATCGTATGGTAATTGCTGTTATTTTGTTCTTGTCTAGCTCTTACGTTGGTTCTATGACACGGCAAGGAAAGATTGAAAGTCATTTAACCATCAGTTCTGGCCTTCTCAGTTCGACTGGATGCTACACCATGCATTTGAGTAGGCCTTCATAACACGCTCTGTTTTATCTGATGCCATGAGCTGGCGGTGCCCTTTGTGATTTTTTATTTTTATTGTTTTATTTATTTATTTTATTTCCTCCACCAGACGCGGTATGGACAAATATAGAAGCCAAATGCACGAAGCTCATCAGGAGCTTGGCTGCACCATGTCTTTCTAAAGTTCATACACTTTCACCATGTAGTCCTGTTTTGGTCTTTTTAGCTCACACATCCCATTACTAGGCAAAGCAAATGCATTCACTTTGGCAAATTTTATCTAATCTGAAAACAAAGTTTTTAGCCGATTTAAACACTTCAATGAGAGGCCATTTTGGCTGGATTCTTTCTCTGTGCTCTGGCAACCCGGGTGCTTGCGCTTCCGGAAAACACAGATAAACATGGCGGCCTGCACAGGTTCAGGTAAGCCGACGGGTGGCATTTAGAAGGTTCTTTTGAGTCGTATGTGGGGTTTGTTTGCGATCAAACAACCAAGATGACAGTAAATAAGTAAATGAGACAAAGTAATGTATTTTGGACAGTAAATGGCCTTCACGTAAGTCTATATGAGCATTATGTGTTTTCGTAGCCTCGCCGAGCGTCACTGAAGGCACTGCCCTGTTCTTCATGTCAGGAGTCACGGCGTTCCGGAACAAATGCGCTTTTCTTTGTATCCTGTTTTGAATCGACATTTAAAGGTTGTTTAGGATAAACATTGGTGTGTGTAGTGCTCATCCACTGCTTATAGGCTAGGGTTTGTTGAGCTACAAATAATCTTCTCGCCAGCTTCTTTTTGTAATCGACTCTAGCATGTCACAATAAGGTGTGATCTTTAAGAGCAAACTAGAGGTGTCCATGATTCATTTCCATTATGGGCTTAATCCTTGTAGAAATCATAACAATTAATCATGCTGTAGCATAGGAAAGGCACAGCAAGGACAGTTTAACCTGAAGGTGCCACCTGCTTGACCACTTAGACTCTGCATTTTTGGCACGTTACACAGTACACCATTTATCTTTGTATTTAATAAATTGCTGGTGTTTTATTTATAAGAAATACCATGAATGAGCCTTTCCACATACTCAGAGCTTTATTTTGGCCTTGAAGTGTCACATTTAACTTGCTGGATGCCATGCAGAGAAATAAGGATGGCACATAGGAAATTTTAGTGTTACAAATATTGTCAGAAGAAGTCTCACAATTGTATAACTATTTATCCGTTAATTATGGAAATTCAACTTGAATGCCAGGCTTATTTACTTTTTAGTTCCGGTTATATTTGGACCTGAAATCAAATAATTGAATAATCTTGGTGACATCCCTTCTGAAGAACATTCAAGGAAAAGTACCAGCCTCATCGTGGAGGCAAGGAGATTTCAAATCATCCACCAGAAAAGTTCCAAAGCACACCTTTTTAAATGGAACAACTTTGGTCATTTAGGGCAAACATGACAAGAAACAATAATAATAGCTTGTACTAAAAGTTTCTACAAATATTCTGCTTATGCATGCCTAATAATAGCAGCATAAGCAGAATAACACCATAGCAGAAAGAGCAGTGCAAAAAATCAGGGTCTTGTTAAAGGGAAACTGTTTGAGTGGTGAGATGTTCTGATCTGAATGGACTGTAGCCTCCTTCCTGAGAGAAGTGGATCAAATAGTCTGTCTAAAGAATGAGAAGACTCAGCTGTGAACCAACCTGCAGAAGCGTTGTCAGGGTATCAGGGCAAGGGATAGGTCAAGAGAGGCTGTGACTTTCCTGAAGTCCATGATCATCTCCGTTGTCTTCTGGGAATTGGGCTGCAGGTTGTTGCCACTGCACTAGGACACTGGCCCGTCCACCTTGTCATTTGTTTTTAATAGGCCTACATAACCAGTTTTTGAGACACTAAAACTGTGTTATTTAGTTTTCTTAGTTTAGGTTATTTTCTGTATGTATTTTAGTCTACTTTAGTTCATTTGCATTTTACATTCCTGCTCATTAAAGTGTTACTTTATTTGATCATTTCTTTGACCGTGGTTCTTGTTACTTCCCTAACCCTTGCCGAGCTGGGCTGTAACACACCTCCCTCCCTACAAGTCTATTACTTGTTTTAGTTCATGTTCCAACTTTTGTGATGGTTCATACTGAAATCTACAAATTTTCTAACTGTCTGATAAATTTACCAGTTAATCAATTAAGAGATGACACTGTAAACTGACTATAACCCCAAATTCTCTTAATGAAACTTTAAACTGTGCATTACCTTTAGTCCATTGTATTATTATCATACCTAAAGCATTTGTTGCTTATGTGAAGGTGTCGTGGTTCCAAGAAATTTTCGTTTGCTGGAGGAGTTGGAGGAGGGCCAGAAGGGCTATGGAGACGGTACTGTGAGCTGGGGGCTGGCAGACGATGAGGATACATCGTTAACCTACTGGACAGGCGTTATCTTTGGACCGCCAAAGGTACTGCTTAATATTTTGGCATCTCCTTTTTATGTTTAAAAGCTTTCTACATGACTTTCAAAGGCCTATTCGCACAACGTGACAAGCTGGTACATGCTAGTGTACCATCTTAAGAAACGCCACCTTTTAAGAACTGTCTGTCAGATCCTTGTTAGTTAACAGTATATGTTTTAGCATGAAATTATTTGACTTTGAGTTATTTGCTATGAATAGTAAAAGATAATCACAGTGGGCGGTAATCACTGGCCTTCTACTTGAGAAAAGCACTTCCCCAATCCAAACTCACCTGTTAAACCAGTTTTTTCGCTTTTGGAATGTATTGTATAATCGCTGTCACTTTTCTTTGTGTTTAGCTGAAAAAGTACTGATCTTTTTCACCTAAAGACAAAGAAAAACAAATTCAAAAAATCCTCGTCTTAGTGGACAAATATTATAAACGAGGAGTGAGGAATGTTGAGAAATGTTTATCCATCCAAAAGGTGGTTGTAATGAATGTCATAATGGGACATTCAAGAGCTGTTGTACTTTTACATCATCTAAACGTACTGCACCTAATCAGACTGAACCCATAGCTAATACAGACACATAATGCCCACCTCTTTCAATAAAACATACTTTAACCACATACAGTAAAGGCAGCCAGGTTCCACATTTTAGCTGATCTGCTTAAAGGAACATTACAGGGCAGATAATCTTCTGGACCCAATGTAGACTGTGCTGCCATGTATTTACACCAGAGGCCAAGTCCAACGTCCTAACTGAATTTGTTTTGAGTTGTTTGAATAAAGTGCTATTCAGTTCAGGTAAAGCAGACAATGGCTGTTTTTGTCTGTAAGTGCTGTGTCTGGCAGCAAAACTATAGTTTTATTTTTAAAATCTGAATTTGTATTTTATTAAAAATGTTAAATTTTGGTTTTAAATTAGTATTTTCCTTTTAAATCTTGCAGACTGCTTATGAAAACAGAATATACAGCCTGAAAATTGAATGTGGACCCAAATACCCCGAGCACCCTCCACATGTGCGCTTCATAACTCAGATCCACATGAATGGAGTACACAGATCAACTGGGGTGGTGAGTATACACATAATGATGATTACACTTTTTCAGGTTCTAAATTATTTAATATTAGAAAGTCCAAAAGTTTTGTATTATTTATGAAAATCTGTAAATAAAATTATTTTTTTTTAAAAGGCCAGTGGACAGAAAACATACATATTTTTGTAGAGCTGTACAAAATTGCTGCATAATATGTCAAAAAAATCAGACCTTTATTTTATTATATTTTATACACTGAATTAACATAAACGCAAATGTTTAATCAGCGCCATTTCAGACACAAAACTGAAATTTATTTCTCCAAAGTCTGAACTCCACCTGCTTTTACTGACAGAAGATTGAAAACTGGAAATTCTAAGGCTGAAATCATCCAAACGATTCTAGTGATGGAGTTTAAAAACACAGTGGATCACTTCTTGTATTACCACATGGCATCACAAGGTGGAACAGGGTATTTTCAGTTTGACAAAAGAGTTATGCAGGGTTTATGTGTTAAACATGTGTGAATGAAACAAAACACAACTATCAGGTATGTTTGTGATGTGGAAATAACATTACAACAAAGATCAGAAAATATCAGAGTATGGGCCATTTACTATGATAATTAGAAATGCTTATGGCTATAAAATATCAATTGATTGATAATGCAAGTCATTGTAGATGTCAGTTTTTCTCTTAACGTTACCACTAAAGCAAGGCCCACTCAACTCAAATTCACAAATTGTTCCAGTTTTCCTTGCAAATGAGTACAAAATATATGGATACACATTTAAAACCAAATAGCCTCATTACTTAAACACTAACAGCTTTAACATTTGAACTTTAACCCCTTAACACCGGCCGCCACAAATATGCGACAAACTGTTTCGATCAAGATACAAGCCAAGATAGCGGCTGCATTCCCCTAATGCCGGTTAGTGCAAGGCAGGACCTTCCTAGGAACTTTTGGCAAGCACTTGGTTCTAGTTTCTTTTTTTATTTTTATTTTTTGCTCTAGTCAAATTAATAATCTCAATTTAATGTACCATCTACTTGAAGGCAATAACACCGACAAAATATTTTTTTATATACATCTCTATAAATTTAGGCGTTACGGGGTTAAACACTTTCTGTCTCTCTCTCACCCCAAATACTTTTTTATGGAAATAGCTAGAGCCCAACCGATATATCGGTTGGCTGATATTATTGGCTGATATGAGCACCTGGGAGCATCGGCTGTCGGCCGATATGCTTGCTGATAGGGGGGCCGATATTTCACGTGGGCATGTTATACCTCGTTATAAAGCTTAGACTCTCTACATTATGTTCATTTAATCCAATTTATAGACAGATAAATATCCAAATATGTGGCTCCACATCAGTATTTATCTGTGGAGTCCTTTGTCTGTGTGTGTCAGTACTGTCCCTGAACACACCCCCAGAGTCACATGCTTTTGTTTACACCCGCAGACATAGATCCATGTGCAACACTGAGATTATATTCTTTTTACGGACAATTGGTTTGCGACAGGATTAAAAGGACATTTATTAGTTGAGACTTGTGATGTGAGAGGAGCCTGTGTGAGCGCTGAGTGTTGGAAATATGTCGACTTTGAAGCTAGTTTTGGTTCGTTCTGATAGGTTAGCGATTAGCTCAGGGGTGTCCAAACTTTTTTCATCAAGGGCCACAAATCTAAACACAGATGAAGCAGAGGGCCGATCGAGGGACATAGACTGGTGCTCAGTACAGGGAATAATTGAAATGTGTGCGTGTTTAACCCGTTAGAATGAGCCATCAGTCTTTAATCATGCTAAGATCCTTAAAATATAAAATAAAAGATTCTAAATATTAAATATTAGCTTTATAAACATAGATTTTCAAAAAACTTGCCGTGAAAAATTATTTTTTAATTGATGCAAGGTAATTTGGGCCAATTCATCTGGAAGCCTGAGGGCCAAGAAAAATGTGTCTGAGGGCCGCATTTGGCCCCCGGGCCATAGTTTAGACATGCCTGGATTAGCTGCTGTAGCTCCCACACATAAACAGGCTGTTTTCTATTGGTCTGTTGTAAAGTGACTATATTGGCCGTATATTTGTTACTGGATCTGCATTGATATGTAAATGAGCTGTGAATAGACGTGTGAATTATGACATTTGCGCATATAATTAATTACCGCGGCGCAGCATTTATGGCTAAAGGGTAATAGCGATTGTTTATTTACTCGCTAGTAGTGATGGGTCGGTCGCGAACGAAGCGGCTCTTAGAGCCGGCTCTTTGAAGAGAACGACGGGAGCCTGCTCCTTATTGGGAGCCTTGTTTTCTCTTTCTCTCACTTTTTTTCTCTTCACGTCGCGTGCAGACTTGTGGGAGTTTGACAGCGGCAGCGACTACAAACAAAGCTTTCATAAATATGCGTGTGCATAGGATAGAAAAAATGTGCATATATATATATTCAGCATAAAATAAATAAACCAGGACTAATCTTGGGGTCGAGAGAGGGAGAGAGATAGAGACCGAGTTCCGACACTCAGTCCTGGTTCAGTTCTGGTTTAGTTCTGCTTTAGACCTGCTTTAGACCTGCTTTAGTCCTATGACATATCATGTAAAGAGGCAGAATAACAATAAATGTTGCCTAAATAAACCCAGTTTAAAATCCACCAGAGCCAAACCTAAGTTTTTTTTTAATAATTCAAGTTCACAGTGAATTTTTACATCAGTAAATCTATCGGTGATTATATCGACTATCGGCAGCCCCAACTCCCATTATATCGGTATCATATCAGCCACAACAAAATCCATATCGGTCGGGCTCTAGAAATAGCACAAAGTGTAGATGACGGACACGATAAAAGTCTGTTAAAAAGCTAATCTCTATCTCTCTGTCTCTATCTCGTCTCTTTCCCTCTCTCTGCCTCTCTCACCTTTTGTCACTAAATGCAGGTGGACACAAAGGCGGTGCCCTCTTTGGCCCGATGGAAGGCCAATTACTACATTCGGACGGTACTGCAGGAGCTCAGACACCACATGATGGCAAAAGAGAACAGCAAACTGTCCCAGCCCTCCGAAGGCCTGGTGTACAGCAACTGAAGCCCCCTCCCTCCGGCCCCCCACACACACCACACATTCAACACTAAGTCCACACAGGGCTCATGGGTCAGCCCTCACCAGTGCCCCCAAGCGCACCAAGCAGACCTGCTCACTCGGTCACATCATTCCTATAGAGCTCGGCGTAACATTTTTAACTTGATCGAGTGTCCTGATTTCATGCGCACCATTGATTTTGAGATTTGAGATTCATACTATAATCACCGTGGTAAAGAATGTCAGCTGGTGTAGAAAAGAGAATTCTGTTCTAAATCTCTATTCAGAATGAAAGTGCTTAAAGAATGTTGGATGGGACTTTATTTCTTCCATTATTCTCATTCTACAGTCAAATTCAATAGTATCTGAATTAAATTTTAAACCAAATCAAGAAATAATAGCTACTGGGTGCAAGACGCTTTTGATATTGGCTATTTAACAGATTCCCTTTGGTTGATTCCCAAGCATTAATAGAAAACATAATATTTTAGTTTCAATTGTTAGATTGTCAATAAGATTTATGTGGATGTAGGCATGATCATTATAAACCTTGAATCATGGTTGTGGCAAAGTCGCAATAGTTTTACATTAAATTATCCAAAATTTACAGATAAAGTGGTGGTAGGATGTAATAGAAATCATCTTTTAAGTGACATTCTCCAGGAATAAAAGAATTTGCCAGTGCTGGGTCCAGTTTCCATCCTTGGATGATTCTCCCGCTGATGTGAAATGACAGTGTTGTGTCTGGTATATGGAACCATCTGCTAATTAGCTCTTTAGGCTATCAGACGTGTCTTGTGTGCCATATGGTTCAAAAAGGTGATGGATGGCAGTGTTGGAGGTGGGGTGGAGCACTGTCAGGATTCCCACTGTACTATGGCCTGTACCGAGCAGGTGGAGCTCTTTTTGTTTGTTCTTGTTTGTATATCTTATTTGGGTTTCTGGACATGTTTACTCTTTTTCTCATACAGCATATGTTCACTGAACGCGTTGTACGGCTTTGGATGTTTATTTTATAATGGGATTAAAAGGGCGGCAGTGACCTATTGCATGATTTTATTGAATTAAACGTTATTACTTTTGCATGTGTGTGTGGGTGTGTTTTTTCCATTTTGATACCTCATCTGACTAAATTCACAAGCTGGCACTCAACCTTGTACCTTCTGTTTATCTGCTTTAAAGGTGCAAAAAATGTGCAAGGTGTAATTCTTTTCTAGAGAGTTCACCGTTCCCTTTTCTCCATGAGGATGTTATTACTTTGCTTAGTATATTTCACAGTATGGCATTAAATGTATACACTTCCACAGAGACAAGCCATCCATCCATCCATTTTCGTCCGCTTATCTGGGGCCGGGTCACGGGGGCAGCAGCCTAAGCAGGGACTCCCAGACTTCCCTCACCCCAGACACGTCCTCCAACTCCTCCGAGGGGACCCCGAGGAGTTCCCAGGCTGGGTCTTCCCCGGGGCCTCCTCCCGGTGGGACATGCCCGGAACACCTCCCGAGGGACGCGCCCAGGAGGCATCCGGAACAGATGCCCGAGCCATCTCAACTGGCTCCTCTCGACGTGGAGGAACAGCGGCTCGACTCCGAGCTCCTCCCGTGTGACTGAGCTCCTCACCCTATCTCTAAGGGAGCGCCCAGCCACCCTGCGGAGGAAACTCATTTCGAGCGCTTGTATCCGTGATCTCGTCCTTTCGGTCACTACCCAGAGCTCATGACCATAGGTGAGAGTAGGAACAAAGACTGACGGGTAAATCGAGCACTTCGCCTTTCAACTCAGCTCCCTCTTCACCACAACGGTCCGATACAGCGACCGCATCACTGCCGAAGCTGCACCGATCCGCCTGTCAATCTCACGTTCCGTCCTCCCCTCACTCGTGAACAAGACCCCGAGATACTTGAACTCCTCCACTTGAGGCAGGGACTCTCCACCCACCCGGAGAGGGCAAGCCACCTTTTTCCGGTCGAGAACCATGGCCTCGGACTTGGAAGAGCTGATCATCATCCCAGCAGCTTCACACTCGGCTGCAAACCGCCCCAGTGCACATTGCAGGTCCTGGTTCGATGAAGCCAACAGGACAACATCATCCGCAAACAGCAGAGATGAAATCCTGTGGTCCCCAAACCGGACCTCCTCCGGCCCCTGACTGCGCCTAGAAATTCTGTCCATAAACACAATGAACAGAACCGGTGACGGGTGCAGCCCTGGCGGAGTCCAACATGCACCGAGAACAGGTCTGACTTACTGCCGGCAATGCGAACACAGCTCCTGCTCCGGTCATACAGGGACCGGACAGCCCTTAGCAAAGGTCCCCGGACCCCAAACTCCCAGAGCACCCCCCACAGGACACCACGAAGGACACGGTCGAATGCCTTCTCCAGATCCACAAAACACATGTGGACTGGTTGGGCAAACTCCCATGAACCCTCGAGCACCGATGGAGAGTGTAGAGCTGGTCCAGTGTTCCACGGCCAGGACGAAAACCACATTGCTGCTCCTGGATCCGAGGTTCGACTATCGGCCGGATTCTCCTCTCCAGTACCCTGGCATAGACCTTACCGGGAAGGCTGAGGAGTGTGATATGGACAAACTGTGACTAGCACAGAAGTCCAATAACAAAACACCGCTCGGGTTCAGATCAGGGAGGCCGTTCCTCCCAATCACCCCTCTCCAAGTGTCACTGTCGTTGCCCACGTGGGCGTTGAAGTCCCCCAGGAGAACAACGGAGTCCCCGGTCGGTGCACTGTCTAGTACCCCTCCCAGGGACTCCAAGAAGGCCGGGTACTCTGCACTGCTGTTCGGCCCGTAGGCCGACACCACAGTGAGAGACCTGTCCCCGACCCGAAGGCGCAGGGACACGACCCTCTCGTTCACCGGGGTGAACTCCAACACACAGCGACTGAGCTGTGGGGCAATGAGCCCACACCAGCCCACCGCCGCTCCCCGCAGCCATCGCCAGAGAAATGGAGAGTCCAGCCCCTCTCAAGGAGTTGGGTTCCAGAGCCCAAACTGTGTGTGGAGGTGAGGCCGACTATATCTAGTCGGTAACGCTCAACCTCCCGCACAAGCTCAGGCTCCTTCCCCCCCAGCGAGGTGACATTCCATGTCCCTAGAGCTAGTCTCCATGTCCGGAGATCCGGTCGCCGAGGGCCCCACCGTCGACTGCTGCCCAGATCTCTCTGCACCGGCCCGATATGGATCCTCCCGCGGGTGGTGGGCCCACGTGAGGATGGCCCCACGTCGCTCCTTCGGGGTAAGCCCTGCCGGGCCCTGTGAGGGAAGGCCCGGCCACCAGGCGCTCGCTGACACCCACCCCAGGCCTGGCTCCTAGGTGAGGCCCCGGTGACGCCAATCCGGGTGACGTCACTGGCCTCTGAGTGGACATCATCATATAGGGCTTCTGAACCGTTCTTCGTCTGACCCGTCCCCCCGGACCTGTTTGCCTTGGGTGACCTTACCAGGGGCATGAAGCTCCCGGGATCATTCGGGCACTCAAACCCCTCCACCACGATAAGGTGACGGTTCAAGGAGGGGAGACAAGCCAGTTATGCGTCAAGTCAGTAGAGGAGCGAATCCACTTACAGTAAGAATGTTTTTCAAGTAATGAAAATGTGTAATTGAATAAATGCAAAATAGATGGGTTTAATGCCATAGTGTGGAACATGCAGGAAATGGAGCAATAACATCTCCATCGAGACAAGAAGATGGCAGACCATCCACCAGAAAAGTTACACTGTGCACCTGTAAGCACAAATATGCTATCACTGCAGAATATATTTTATAACTATTATCTCCTCATTTCCTTTATAATAAATTAGTTTGTCTTGTTTGCAAATTTTTATTAGAATACAATAAAGTCCAGGTGATAAGAGAAATCAAGATTTATGCTATTTGTGGATTACAGCTCTGCATTCAACTCTATCAGCCCAACCAAACTGTTTAATAAACTGCTCACTCTTGGCCTCTCACCCCTCTTGTGTCTCTGGATAAAGAACTTCCTGACCAACAGACGCCAGCACGTCAGAATTGACCAGCATTTGTCCTCCACCATCACTGTGAGTACAGGTCTGCCTCAGGGCTGCGTCCTGAGCCCAGCTCTCTACTCCCTCTTCACATATGACTGCGTAGCACACCATAATTCCAACACTGTCATCAAATTTGCTGATGACACAACTATTGTGGGGCTCATAACAACAATGATGAAGCTGCTTACAGGGAGGAGGTCCTGACACTGATCTCCTGGTGTAAAGACAATGACCTGCATTTAAATACAAAGAAAACTAAAGAAATAATTGATTTTAGGAAAAACAAATGCATTCCCCATCACATTGGCCTCTACATCAACGGAGAAGAGGTAGAGAGGGTCTCCAACTTTAAGTTCCTGGGTGTGGAGATCAGTGAGAATCTAACCTGGAGCCTAAACACCATCAGCGTTATAAAGCCCAGCGAACACTCCGCCAGAACGGGCTCTCCCAGAAGCTCCTAACCAACTTTTACCGGTGCACCATCGAAAGCGTTCTAACGTACTGCTGTACATCATGGTACGGAGCCTGCACAGCTGCTGAAAAGAAGGACCTGCAGCGAGTGGTGAGAACAGCTGAAAAGGTGGTGGGCTCCTCACTCCCGAACCTGGACACCATCTACTCTTCACGTCTCCACACACGGGCCTCCAACATTTTGCAGGACCCCACACACCCCGGAAACTGCCTCTTCCACACTCTCCCCTCAGGAAGACTTCAAACTCCCCTCACACGCACAAACAGGCTGCGCAACAGCTTCTATCCACGAGCAGTGGACGTGCTCCAAGGGCACAGGCACAGATAAAAGACCTGAAGGGACTCAGTGCAATAATCTATTTATTTTATTTTATTTTTACTGCTACAGATCTGCTCTGCTGAAGTTTCGTTGTATTTCATACAATGACAATAAATAAATCTATCTATCTATCTATATACCATTTCATTTTAGAGGAATAATAATCTATAAACATGTTATAATGCTGTTTACTGTTGTTACATCCTTAATGGCAATAGGTAACTTGGTATAACACTGAGGATATTTTCCCTATGGAACAATACAGTGTAACTTCAAAAGCCTCTACGTAAAAGATGGATATCATTATACATAGAGCTACAGTAAATCTGGGCTTTTCCACAAGCGCACCATTCTGTAACTTCTGAACAACAGAGCAGCCAGTGGAGGAACTAACAGTTCCAATCAGAGACTGATGAAGCTGAACTGAAATTAATCTCATTTGATAATAAAGCTTGTTACGTACATATAACTTACAAAACAGTGCACAGTTGTTGGAGTTAGTTTGCCATTTCCAAGTTGAGTGAGATTACAGGCACTAATGTGCACATACACTTGTGTGAGTCCAGCTCTGGCCTTTATTAGTTGATGTAGGCGTAGGCATGGAGCATGTGCTCTCTGTAGCCCATCCTCATCTGTCTTCCTCACTGGCAGCAACATGCTTACGGTCAGCCTTACCCCATCCTGCAGCTGCTGCAGCTCTATAGTCTTTTAAAAGGACAAAGAGCGGCACGTGACCTGGGCATGTGGGAGGGGCCATGTTCTGAAACCACAGGGGGTGATGCAGCAGGGGGCCCTCACTGCTGTGTGTGAAGAGAGGGGGTCAGCAGTGGGTTTATCAGAAAGCTACTCTTCACTCACAATGTCAGAAGTCACTTGAAAATATTATGCAAGCATGTGTACATACATCTCAATGCACTTCTCTGGGGAGTAGGTTAAGTAGTAATCTTAAGTCTTAAATGAAAGGATGTAAGTACAAGTATGCCAACCTCAGAGCAGGCCATCCTGCCTGAACTCAGTGATATATTTGCAAAAATACAAAACCAATCTCCATAGTTTAGACTGAAAAGTGAAATGGCCCTTTTTATCTCAAAAGATGAACACATATTTTTTGGCTTCAGTATGTACAAATAGATATAATTAAAAGTGAGGCAGCTACTGAAGAGTTTCATATGTTCATGACTAAAGAGCAGATCAACATTTGGTGAAGTGACAGGTATTTGCACTCAAAGGAATATATTAAGATCTGAAAAATGATAAAATTATTTAATATTTTGATTCTCTTCCAAATGCAATTTATTTATTTTATTAAATCTTCATCTTAAAATCAGCAGATAAGACTGTGCCCTTGAGAGAATCCAATTTTGTTGACAATAATTAACTTCCTGTTCATTCTATTTTTTAGGCAAATGAGCAATAAAGGTGAGTGGCTGTTAGCAAAATGGAGAATTGTAAATCTGCCGTGCCATGACAGCAGACTGCAGCCTTCATTGACCTGGTCTGGCTCTGCTGCACACTCAGCTGTACCCTGCTGACCCCAGCAGATGGTACACTCTCACTCCTACACCTATTTCTTCAAAACTAACAACAGCAGTGATGTCACTATATGTGGGTGCAGTCAGTGCAGGGTCTCTTTAGTGACTGAGAAAGTTCATTATTCACATATCAGTTACAGTAGCTTACACATTATGCCAGTTATTTTACAGTATAGGCCTACAATGTGGTTCTTCACATAATCCCCATGATCTGAGTTCTCCAGATCCTCAGTACCATTTTATAATAACTACACCTTATAGCCTTAAGAAAGCACAATGAAGACTTAACTCATAATGAATAAATGGTTTAGGCTGAAGAATTATTCAGGCTTTGTAATTACTTAAATAAGTGGTTTTTCCTTAGCTACAGTTCCTGGTAGTCTGTTCAGCTTAGTAACGTGACAATATTGGTTTGCGGACAGAGGAGCTTGCTGGCCTCGTGTCCTGGCTGTCCCATGAGACAGGACAGAGGGACACAGTGATGGATGAGCCCTCAAATGGGCCAGTGTTGGATGGACAGATCCCTTGTACCACTCCTGACCACTGACTCGATTAAAATGCATTTGTACACACTCTGTGCCCTCCCCTAGATCACCTCTACCTACAGCAATGACATTACAATGTCATTTGAGAACCTGAAGATTCTGGGTGTCCAACACCGGTTCAGCCTCCCTATAAAGTAGATTTATGTAATCCAACCTGGGGGTTAGTGATCTGATCCCAGCTCCAACCAGTGCACGATGTTTTTGTACATTACATGTGGATGTGGTGTTCGGAAAGGCTGATGGGCAGCCTCACTTCAGGGTACCTGTAGCTACAGAAGAATCTAATCATCACTGAGTAGTGAGAGGGACTTTCACTTTGAGAGGTAAAACAAAATATATAGTGCATTTTATTGTTTAGTCCAATAATAAAATAAGTATTATTAGTGAGATAAAATATCACCTCGCTCTTTATAAATTCTCCAGCTTCAAAAGAGCACTTTGGCTTGTACTCAAAAGTCTGTTAGTCAGAAGACACTAAAAGAACAAGAGAGTGTCCAGCCAGCAGTGAAATCACTGCCTTTTGTTTAACCTTAAGGCCTTACTATCCACCACTGTTATATGGTTTTGTATAGGCACTAACGCTTGTTAACAACACAACAGTCTCAAGAATGTAATAGAGCATTTGAAAGACCTGTGTTTTTTATTTATTTTTATTCTCAATAAAGTCATCTATGCTATACAGTAATACTCTACTACGATATAGCACAGACTTCTGCCAAGGCATTGGTACTTTCACTGTGCTGTAAGTTGCAGCTTTTTTCACAAGGCTTATCTGTCAGAAGTTCCTTTACCCTCAATCCAATGATGTGTCTTCATATAAAAAAACTCCTAAAAATTACCAAATCTATTTTCAAATACACAGATTTTGTTCTATTTAACACAAACTAGGTAAACCATTAGATAACATTTTCTACCAAAAAAAAATTGTCATGTGCAAACTTTTGGCATTGATGTCACACTATACACTATAAGATATGTCAGTGGAGCCAGTACTTCATTTTAAGACAATGGGGCAACTGCAGAGGCCCCCTACACACACGCCCTGCTTCCACCACACCATTGTCCAAGGCTCTCTCTGGGGGTGAAAGGGGGGAGAGAAACTGCACAGACGGCCGCTGCTAAATTGATGTGTATCCCTGGGGATGTTTGATGGATTAATGCTAACCACACCAGCTGATCTTTGGGGCTTGGGCAGACCACATATAAGAGCCGTGTGCAGCTTTAGTGCTTAGCTCGTCTGTCTGCCTTTCCCCATAGTCACTCCACTCAGAGCACTTTCTTCCTTCCTCTGGCCACACATGCCTTAGTGTTTTTGTGAAGAAGCCCGTTATCGTCTTCTCCAGTAGTGAAACAACCTAAAACTGACCAAAATGCCACGCTCCTTTTTGGTAAAGCAGACAAAGGTTTTTGATTTCTCCTCTTCAAGAGGTCACCATCACCAGCACTGGGACAAGAGGGCTGTGACACATGCCATCGCAGAGTCGGCCACACGACTGGCAACACGCCTGAGTGAAAACGGTAAGTTTGAATGGACTTACTCATTCATGTCTAATTTGTTACTATCTGCACTTTTTATGCTGAAAGAAGATAATACAAATATTGATGTCATATATGCTCTGCTGGTTGCATATGATATGTAACAGCGTAACTTGGCAATATTGTCTCACTTGGTTTGAAAAAGAAAAGAGACAGATGCTTTTGTCTTAATTATTGTAAAACAACTTTAAAGACCTGCAAAGCCTGGTAAATGCAAGGTTAATGCTAATGCATTTTTAAACCAAATGGTAATAATGTCGTTAGTATATCTAATGAAATGCTGAATACATAGTATTTATCTATAGTTGATACCTTAACTTTAGAATGTATCAAACATGTGTAACCTCACTACAGATATGTAACAATCAACAAAAAATAATTTTACATATGTGAGAAGATTATTTTCTACCTTGCTTACTGTATGCATAAAGTGAGGCTGTTGCCCACAGTCCATTTGTCTTAGATTCTTTCCAGGTGTCAGCCTCCCCTGGGTCTCTGTCTGTCCTAAGATGCTCCAGAGTTACATTACAGCAACACTAGATATCTTTGAGTGGTTCTGAGGTAAGAGCCTACTCTCTGATGGAGGAATATTGAATAGCTATAGAATACAGACCAAACCTGTCAGTGAATGATGCATAGTTGGACGAAAAAGTCTAGAATTGTCTAATATGACCTCTGGCACTGTGTCTACATTGTATGTAAAGTGATTTTTAAAATTTGCTATACTATTGGGGATTGCCTGTAAAATCTAAATAAATACATGTGAATTCAATACTGAACAATAAAAGCTTTGAGCTGATTGAGTTGATGGGATATATAGAGATTAGAAATGCCATCTGTCTGCCTGTCTTTGTGTGCGGTGGGACTGAGGGAGCTCCTTTTGTCACTCTTGCTCCGCCTTTGCGCACTGCTCTACACTTTACACTGCTCTACATAAGGGCTGTCATGTGAATCCACTCATTTTGTGATACACTGTTGACATACCACTACTGCCTCTGTCACAGTTCATAAGAAGTTAGGAAGCAACTCCATCCAATATCCAATGCAGCATAACATTGCATTTCCCAATTCACACTCATTTTATGGCTGGTTTTATTAGAAATACTTTAAAAATGATATGGTGATTCTAACATCAAACCAAATTAAGACAAGAGAAAATGAATCAAATTGACCCTGAAACTTTGTATTTCCAGGATATATCCAGGACTATGTAATTCCATCTCTGCAGCAGGGAGCTGCGGTGTCCTGTGATGATGAGGCTCCCCTGCACTCGCCCTATGGCTCCGGGGGCAGCACAGCAGAGGATTTCTCAGACCATGACATGGAACATCCTGACAGCCCAGTGTCCAACTGTACAGCCCAGCCCGACAGCAGCTTGGAAACAGAATTATGTTTTACTTCAGAGGCTTATTTGAGCTACGGGTCCACGCACAGGTGCTCCCAGGGTAAAGCCAAGGGGCCAGTTAAAGGCCATTATAAGTGCAATGAGTGTGACAAGTCCTATGCCACCTCTTCCAACCTGAGCCGACACAAGCAGACGCACCGCAGCCTAGACAGTCAGCAGGCCCGCAGGTGCCCCACCTGCCACAAGCTGTACGTATCTATGCCTGCGCTGGCCATGCACCTCCTCACCCACGACCTCAAGCACCAGTGCACTGTGTGTGGGAAGTCTTTCAGCCGACCCTGGCTGCTGCAGGGACACATGCGCTCGCACACAGGTGAAAAGCCCTTTGCCTGCTCACACTGTGGGAAAGCCTTTGCAGACCGCTCCAATCTGCGTGCTCACATGCAAACACACTCTGCCTTCAAACACTACACATGCACACGCTGTACCAAGAGCTTTTCACTCAAATCCTACCTCAACAAGCACCTGGAGTCAGCCTGCTTCAAAACAGACTGAAGTCAACTCTGCACTGGAGCATGAAGGAACTTTTCAATATAATAGGCCAATGTACAATCTGAATTGTGACCAGTGTGTGTCATTATATTATATCTCAGCCAACTAGCCCTTATTTTTTATTTATTTTTTGTTTTCGTTTTTTTACAAAAAAGAAAAATAATAATGTTTATTGCCTTTTTGTAATTAAATGTACTATTTATTTATTTTCCAAGTTAATTTATTGAGGTATTTTTCTTATTTATATTTAAAATGGGTCGATACACTTGTTATTACAAATATTTTGCTAGTATTAATATATTATCTATAAACTTTTCCTTGTATGAAATTGCAATAAATTGTTCATATTAAATACTGTTTAACATCTTTGTTTTACTCCTGCCAGGCTGGCATGGGACATGTTGGAGAATTTAGTTTTCTGTATGGTTCTTGAGAATGGGCTTTAGAGTGTGTCCATCACAGAATACACAGAGCTTTGCTGTGACAGTATAATCCAAAACATTGAAAGTCCAGTTTATGTGTACCCATATTGGTAAATGCATCAGACGAGCTCCACACACAGTCACAGCTCAATGACCACAGGAAGTGCACAGGGTCAGGTGTCATGAGAAGTGAGCAGCTGCTACAGACCAGTCTCACAGACCAGTCTCACAGGAGTACTGATCATGCAGTAATTACTTCGTTTAATTTTTAATAACATTTGTTTTCATTTAACTAATAGGAAGGCTGTACATGATCTTAAGGTCAGTACTGTTTGTCAAAGGGGCAATACCATGACTCATTCGTATTCTGAGATTAATCACACAGGGCAGAACATTTTAAGTTTGTGAGTATCAACCACAATCCCTGCGGGTATCAGTGCTGATGTGCTGAAGTGCCCCTTCAGAATAGGTTCACATTCACCTGGACAGCTTTTGGTGGATTTGTTATATCAAATAGGACTAAACTGTATAAAGAAGAGAGAGTGATGTCACTCATAGCAGGGTGAATTTGGAGCCAGTTCCACATTAGTAATAGGAATTTATATACAGACAAAGCAGCAAAATAAAAACACCAGGATCATGTAGAGTGGGTTAATACGGACATTTTAAGGCCAGAATGGCAAGGCTCACTGTAGCAGTTACAGAGAGAGGGGTGAGAATTTCTCAATGTAAAGTCACTTGGAGCGGGAAGCACCCCCATAAACACTTCCTATTTGGAACGCAACAGCTACTGGGTTAGCTATGTCCATCGATATGATATAAACCCACAAATTGTATGAGACAAATTACACAACCATGGAAGCACTGGCGTTTCTATTAGATATTCCCAATGAAGGCAAATTTAGCCTACTTAAAATGTATATGTTCAAAAATTAAATATAATGGCTGAGTGTGGGGCCTGGCTTTTGATCTGTTCTACACTCAAGCAACTGGGTGGAATCTGGAAGCCATTTGGTTTTCACTGCAAAAGTTCATGCTTGGTCACCCCCTACATCTGTGGAGTGTTTATTTACCCTCTGCACTTACCCCATTACACTATAAGTGACAACAGCCCTGCTACTGTCTAAGGAGATTATCAAAAACATACCTAGAATTGTGTTTTGTTTCATTCACAATTCCTGCATATTTGGGATGAGTGATGTCATGTGGTAATACAGGAAGTGCTCCACTATGTTTTTAAACTCCATACACCTTCACTAGAATCAGTTGGATAATTTCAGCCCAGAATTGCTTATCTCTACTATACAAAAGTTAAATGGTAGCTGTTAACATAAAAACTACAGCTTTATGACATCACAAGGTGGAATAGAGCATTTTGAGCTTTAGAAATGTAAACAGACAAATAATAAAGGATTACTCAAACGTGTGAGTGAAACAAAACATAACTTAAGGTATGTTTTGATGAGGTAACAGTATTGTATTGTAACATGGCTCAAAGCTCACAAGAGTCAGTTTTGCATAATAGACCTATAAACCAAATGAGAACCAGAGTCTGTGTCCTTGATTGTAAGATTACATATAGGCAAATTCACTTTCAAGTCTTTATACTGTCTTGTGCGATGACATGATTAAGTTAAATTATGTAAAACATTTACTTTGATTTGATTTTGAAAGATTTTGTAACGTGCCACTAGCCTTGGCTATTTGTTAATAGGCTATATGGGACAATGAGACATGATAGTTGAGCAGGGACAGATTTTCAAGCTAATGAAGGGCAGGGCTGATACTGCCTACACTGGAATCGGCTATGACAGCATGTTAAAAGAGAGTAGGAAAGGCACGCTCCAGTCTGCAGTGCTGCTGTCTTATCTTCATCTTTACAGCTCAGTTTGTGCTTCTTTTGGTGCTACAAGCATTTGGGAATGCAGGGTCATTAAGTCTTGCCCTCCCCTTACTGCAGCTGCCTCTTTAGTGGCTGCTATAAGAGCCCTCCCAGTTAAACACAAACCCCACTGGACTGCAAAGCTCTAAAGACTCGGCATTAACCCAAACGATTACGCGCCAACACTTGTCTCATGGCTTTCACTTTGCTGAGCCCACTGCCCGCGCATCTGTTCCCCCGTCCCGTGGACCTGTCTGTTGCATCGGAGGGCGATGAGAGCCTGGGCATTCAGGAGCAGGGCTTGAGTTGGCACGGGGCGCTGGGGGCAGCTCTACCTTTCCGGCAGGAGTCTGGTGGCATCGTTGTAAGACAGCGGAACACGACCAATGCCCGGGAGAGACACAGAACTCATAACGTGAACACCGCGTTTACCGCGCTACGCACGCTCATCCCCACGGAGCCAACAGACAGGAAACTGTCCAAAATAGAGACGCTCCGACTGGCGTCCAGCTACATCTCTCACCTGGCCAACGTGTTAGTGGACGGAGACGGGAGGGATCAGCCGTGTCTGAGGACCAGCAAACAGGACAGGAACATATGTACCTTCTGTCTCAGCAGCCAGCGGAAAGAGGTAAACACTCACTGATCACCTATAAGCAACAAGAAAAGTACCGATGCTATCAGACAGATGACATTGTTAATAACTAGGGAATAAAGTAGACTTATAAAGCTAATTAAAAATACACGGCATTCTCTGGAGGATCTGGAACCTAAATGTCTCCTTGGAGAAGTTAGCCGTTGGATGAATTATCCATGGCATTGATCTATTTTGCCTTAATTTTATTATGCTTGTCTTCTTTTCTTCATTGAGTTTAATGTCAAATTGTGGGAACATTCTGAGCAAAATCTTAATGGAGACAAACAGGTGGCGGCCCACCAGGCCAAAAGTTATAGGTCTGTTCTATACCTTTAAGCAAATATTTTGAATATTTTGAGGGCGTGCTAAGGCGTTTCAAACCTAAAGCCTAAAGTCACAGGGATAGAATTCCTAATGAGTCTCATTTAAAATGTATGATTATCACTGAATCCAAATCTCTTGTGTTTTCTTTAAAGGCCAAAGACAGACAGGACTGTGTGAAGCTGCATGGACACAGGATGAGACACAGCTGTCGATAAGATGAAGGCACACAGCGTTTGTGAAACTTGGAACTATCTGAGAGCCCAGAACAAGAACACTTAAAGACATATACCCTATTGTGAAACAAGATTATGCCTGTTTGGCCAAAACTGGCACCTGTGGACTTTCCCCTGCAAGACCAAACCAAGATAAATCCCTGGCCAACCCAAGATAAACATTAATTTAAGACATGACAGTGATAAAATATAATATTTTTCTTGCTCTAACAATATGTGTGACTGAAATGAGCCAATGTTTTGGTGTGGATGTATACTGCGGTGGAGACATGTTCCACTGATTTAAAATCTAATAAAAAGTGCATTTATTTTTTTACTCATTGTGGCCTCCATCTCACCACAGCACATTGTTCATGGGCTACTTTGATCACCTGTCTGTGAAATGCAAGAAAAAAACTCCCAAATGTAGTTAGCAAATGTGGCAGGGTATATTAGCACAGAGCAAGTGCGATTGTGCACAGGAGAAATCACTCAAATGTCTTAGGTTCTTTGTCTTGTGTCTTGTGCCAATGCAGATGTGCGACAGATTCATCACAGTGAACTGTCCCCTGCAGCATCCACACAAACACATCTGCTGAGTGAAGGTGGCAGCCAAGAGTAAATAAACAATTTACAGAAACATGACAGCATGGGTAGCCTGCACTTATAGTCTTAATGTTTTTCAGATTTTAGTTTTATAGGCCTACGTGTGTCTGTGTGTGTCTTAAATTAGACTGAGCTTCATTTTAACACAATCTGAACATAAAGACCTGCACAGCAAATTCAAGAGTGTTAATTCAGCTGGTATATTGTTAATTTTAACACTTTTACCATGTCCTATGGGGTCCACAATAAAATGAGTTAAAACTACACTTTCCAAAGTGTAGAAGAAGACTCAACACTGGTAAAGAGATGTAACCACACTCCTCATAGTTGAATTTGACACTGATTAAGATTTGATTTTTTTTTACACTAGTGTATAGTGAGTAATAACTATATTGCTATGTTTTAACACTTTATGAAGTAGGAATAGTGTAGTGTTCATCTTACACTATTCAATAGTAACTCTTCACTAAATACAGTGTAAATGTTGTGGTCATTCTAGTTCATAATCCCTTTTACAAATATAAAATAATAAAACTACCACAAAATTCCAGTTCAACTTAACTTGTATTAAAACAATGCACATCATACAATCAACACAATTTAAACAAGTCATGACAATACTATTTTTGCAAAATCCAACTGACAGCAGGAATTCTCTGTGCTCTCAACAACTGGTCACAATGATTGTCATTTATTTAATTTTTTTAAAGTGGATTTTTCAATGCAAGCCATCAATGGATGAATCAAGATCTTGTTTTGAATGGAATTCAGGCGTGCTCATCTCCAAAAATGAGAGGAGCATGTCTGACTGTTTGAAACAAGATCTTCTCTCCATTATATAAACATAACAATGTTCACAATAGAGTCAGTCCTGCTAATAATGAAACATTAACATTGCAGAAACTTTTTACCTCAAGAGTCAGTCTTTTACTCTTGGGGTTTCTTTTGACACATCTAATGTCCATGTTGTAGACAGTTCTTTGAATACAGGTGTAAAGTTTGTGAGAGTCTGAGGACCAAGTGCCTTGAAGTGTTCACCAAATTCAGCCAGGTCAACGATGACATAAAAAAGCCTTTGTCCTTCCCACTTCAGTCACAGGCAGAAAGGCTGTCCAGGCTCAACCAGCAAGAAATGTGTTATACCAATCTGTAAAATCAAATATAGAATAGAATAAATATAACATATTCAAGTAACCATCTTACAAAACGGGCTATGCAATATTTAATGAGCCATGAATAAAAATTAAAAAGTAAATATATTATGGTATTTGTTTGTTCCTATTAAGAAGGTTATTCTGTTGCATGAGCTGTACGTTTTTGTATACAGGAACCATTCAAATAAATACTTGGAGGGTAATTTGAAAAAGGGTAATTTGAAAAAATGTAGCCCCTTAGAAAAGATTTTTAAATGCAAAGACCCACAAGAAACAAAAACACCTGAATGCCATTAATCATGAAAATAGAATGAGATTAAGAAAAAACATTTCAACTACTTAGCACATATATAAAATTCAATTAGTCAATTACAAAATTATTGGTGAGGTTACATTTCAGTTCTACATTTAACCATTTCATGACCTGCAGATCTGACAAGATGGTTAATGGCTTGAGCCTTCATCTTTCCACTGTAGCCTTTAGGAGCTGGGGATGCATGTGAACCAGCAGCAAGAAAATTACCCTAAAGAAAATAGAAAAAAAGAATGTATCATTACTCTTTTTGAGTAAAGGTCAATGCATGTTAAGACATTGTATTGGGTAAGACATCATACTTCTGATATTTTATTTTTACAGAATACTACTAACCTTTTGATTCCAATCATTTTAATAATTCTCCACTTGATACAATATCCTACCTCAACACACCACACAAATGAGAGCACGTTTATAGGCTATTATTAAAAGAAATGTGAATACAGCGAACTGATGCAGCCCAAAAGTGTGATTAGTAATGGATTTATTAGATTATAATCACCTAATTGAAGATCCAGGGTTAAAATTATTTCTTGATTTTTATAAAGCTTTTGATCTTGTAGAACATCCCTTCATATTGAAGTCAGTAGAATATTTTGGATTTGGCTCTAAATTTATTAACTTAGTGAAGATGATGTAAAGTGATATAAACAGTTCTGTATCCCTCCCTGAGGGCGCAATTAAAAGATTTTGGATAATAGGAGTTAAGCAGGGCTGCCCTTGCTCTTCGTATCTTTTCATTCTGATCTCAGAATTATTATCAATATATATTTAAAAAAAAAAAAAAAAACAGTACAGATTTTGAACCTTTAAAAGTGTTTGGTAAACCTTTGTATATTACTCAATTAGCTGATGACACTACCATTTTTCTAAAAAATGCAGAACAGATTCCTACAGCAATCAGCAAAGTAGAAATATTCTCTAAAGCATCAGGTTTATGTCTAAACCTTAAAAAATGTGAACTTATGGCCTTGCATGAGCATCCTAATACCAATTTATATGGAATACCTGTGAAAAGCGAAGATAAATACTTAGGGATAGTATTATCTAAAGACTGGAAAAGAATAATTAAACATTGATAATATAGTAAAAACTCAATCTATATTAAATTCCTGGTTACAAAGAGATTTATCCATTTTTGGCAGAATTTTAATCACTAAAAATAGTATTGTCAAGATTAATTTACCCTGCCTTCTCTCTAGCCATACCCAATCATTTAACAGCAACCATTAACAAAAGTATTTTTAACTTTATATGGAAAAATAAACATCACTATATAAGAAAAAAAAATTAGCAGTAAAGCCAAAAGTAGATGGTGGTCTAAATGTAATTGATTTAGAAGCTGAAAATGGAAAACTAATGTTAAAATGGTTGAAAAACTTTATAAATAATATAGACAAGTTCTGGTTTCATATCCCTGCCAAAATTTTCTTAGACTGTGGTGGCATTGAGTATCTGCTCACCTGTGACTTCTCTACCTCTAAATTAACACTCAAATCATCAACATTCCACCAACAGGTCCTTTTAAATTGGAAAATGGCATACACACACAATTTTACCCCACATAATGTACCTATCTGGAACAACAGATGTATTCTTTCCAAAAAGAAAATCTATTATGAGGACTGGGTGAGAAAGCGTATTTGGTCCATTTCACATTTAACAGATTCCAATAGGAACCTTATGAACCATGAAAATCTTATGAAGAAATATAATTTACACTGCTCAAAACGGCAATATAATACAGTCATCAAAGCTATTCCATTAGAATTGTTAAATCTAGTTAGTGGCATGTTGAGGTATGATAAAATTATACCAAAATGCCCTTTACTCACCATAGATGAATTTGAATTTAAAGACAAAAACTGCACAAATAAAATAAGAAACATTATTACTACGAAATTGTGTCCTCTCCCATTAAAAATTATTTGTGTACTTAAAGACTTTCCAGTTAATATCATTTAAAAAAATTATAACAAATTATCTCTCATTTCCAATCTCCCCTAAAGCCGAAGAAACTCACTTTAAAATTTTAAATATTTACCTCTGTAATGAATTCTTGAAAAAATGTTTTAATATGGAGACCAATAACTGCACATTTTGTAACAGTGAAATAGAAACTGTTGAACATTTGTTCTTTTATTGTAGCCATATTAGAACGTTAGAACAATGTTACTTATAAAGATATAAAATATGGAGTAATTTTGCAAGACAACAAAAAGGAACTGTTCTATAATTCTTGTTTATTACTAACCAAACAATTTATTCATAAATGCAAATTCTCAAATATAAAACCCTTGTTCAATGTATATCGTCATGATTTTTTGCAATTTAAGAGATCCTTACGTCACATTAAATCTAAACAAGTCATTTTAATAAATTATTTTATGCAGTCAGATGCATATGACCTCTTGCATTGTACTTTGTTGTATTAACATGTGTGTATTTATTTTATTATTGTTTTATTTTATTTATTTTATTAATTAGTCATTGTTAAAAAAAAAAAAAAAGTACATACTCAGTCATAAATTTGTACTGTTGACATAATGTATTTTGTATTGCCAGCACTGATTAATAAAAAGAAAACAAACAAACAAAAAACAAGGTGTGAAAAACACGGTGAAAACTCAGAAGAGCTAAGGTAACGAATGCTAACTTGCCCTTCACTTCAGTATAAACCGGGAGTCGTGTTGCGGCAGAGATAGGCCGTGTGAGGGCGTTTGTGTATGGGCTGAGTGAGATCATGGACCTGCTGAGATCGACACACTATTTACGGTCTCCTCCAGACGGAGTAGAGGCTCTACGAAAACAAAACGGACAAAAAGCAAATAGGTTTTCGGCTTAGAACAAAGTGTTACGATTTTGAATTTCCAATTGAATATCCAATTTCAATACGAAAAACAAATGCACAGTGAATTTACGCGGACCAAGAGCCCGCATGCACATCAATATCTGTTGCATTTTATTCTTTTCTTTTTTTTCCAAGTAGCAGAATCATCAGTGGAACATTATACACTCTAAATATGCTATTGTGGTACATTTGATAACTTCTTAACTCAGTAAAGCATGCACAAGCCTAAGCGCCAAGTAGCAGTTAATGCTAGCACAATTTGTACATTTGTCCTGGTAAATTCAAATTATATTACAACTAACATTTTACAATATTATAAGTAGAAAGATGCACCCAGCGAAGTCCACCTCGCATGTAAAATGACTGCCATCTCGAAGTGCAAAGGGAGAAAGGCAGAAAATCCTATATGACCCGGGGCATGTGAAAGCTCAGGTGGTTGGACTTGAAGCTCGTTGAATTCTGGTTCTGCTGAAAAACAAACGCTATTAGCTGTTATCTTAGCCTCGGACGGTGAAAAGTGGCCTCTCTCTCCGAGCTCTCCCGCTTGCAACATCACAAAAAGCAAACACACATGTAGTGTAATATTCAAAATAAGTGTTTGACATTAACACTGAATCAACAACTACTCATTTTATGTCAACACTGAATCAACAACGTCTTCGACCAACGCGGTCGGGGTGGTGGTCCCTCTGTATAAGGAGGACCGGAGGGTGTGTTCCAACTACAGGGGAATCACAATCCTCAGCCTTCCCGGTAAGGTCTATGCCAGGGTACTGGAGAGGAGAATCCGGCCAATAGTTGAACCTCGGATTCAGGAGGAGCAGTGTGGTTTTCGTCCTGGCCGTGGAACACTGGACCAGCTCTACTCTCCCCATTGGGTGCTCTGGGAGTATGGGGTTCGTGGCCCTTTGCTAAGGGCTGTCCAGTCCCTGTATGACCGGAGCAGGAGCTGTGTTCGCATTGCCGGCAGTAAGTCAGACCTGTTCCTGGTGCATGTTGACATGATGACTCCGCCAGGGCTGCCCTTTGTCACCGGTTTTGTTCATTGTATATATGGACAGAATTTCTACATGCAGTTAGGGGCCGGAGGGTGTCTGGTTTGGGGACCACAGGATCTCATCTCTGCTGTTCGCAGATGATGTTGTCCTGTTGGTTTCATCAGGCCAGGACCTGCAATGTGCACTGGGGCGGTTTGCAGCCAAGTGTGAAGTGGCTGGGATGAGAATCAGCTCTTCCAAGTCCGAGGCCTTGGTTCTCAACCGGAAAAAGGTGGCTCTGGGTAGTGACCGAAAGAACAAGATCGTGGATACAAGCGCTCGAAATGAGTTTCCTTCGCAGGGTGGCTGGGCGCTCCCTTAGAGATAGGGTGAGTAGCTCAGTCACACGGGAGGAGCTCGGAGTAGAGCTGCTGCTCCTCCACGTCGAGAGGAGCCAGTTGAGGTGGTTCGGGCATCTGTTCCGGATGCCTCCTGGGTGCCTCCCTCGGGAGGTGTTCCAGGCATGTCCCACCAGGAGGAGGCCCCGGGGAAGACACAGGGCACGCTGGAGGGACTATGTCTGGCCTTTGAACACCTCGGGGTCCCCCCAGAGGAGCTGGAGGACGTGTCTGGGGTGAAGGAAGTCTGGGAGTTCCTGCTTAGACTGCTGCCCCTGTGACCCAACCCCGGATAAGCGGAAGAAGATGGATGGATGGACTTTGACGGAGCAGCTCTGAATTTCATTATACTATACTATAATGACAATAAAGGCATTCTATTTTATTCTCTCCTTTCTATTCAACAACTTATTTTATTCTACATCACTGTCACAGTTGAAATAATGCCACCTTGACATTGTCTAAAGGCCTATCTTGTGTCTACCAGCAGATGAGTCCATGAGAGGCAGGTATTTTTAAATCAGAACAGAATTACACATGGGGGTCCATGTCCCTGCACTCCGTCTCCACCCACTGGAGCTTCATTTGCTTTGCCATAAAACACACAAATCTTTGCAACTTCACTCCTGGTCCCTGTGCTTTTCACAGATAACAACAGGTTCAGCCTGAGGCTGAGCACATGGCAGCTGTGAGGAGCGTGAGTGCTTTGGTGGTGAGTCAGTGTGGTCTAGAGACAAGTATTTCCAAAGAAGAATGTTTGAGCCCCTCTGCCACCAAACTGGACCTCAGACTGTCAGACAGTGATGTCTTGACCAGGAGATACCTGAACCCCACGATCATCCCTCATCCCACCTGGAGGATGCTATAATTGAATATCTACTTTGCTATGGATTCTACTTGGACAACTAAGGGCTCTTTCATACCTATCCATCCATCCATCCATTTTCGTCCGCTTATCCGGGGCCGGGTCGCGGGGGCAGCAGCCTAAGCAGGGACTCCCAGACTTCCTTCACCCCAGACACGTCCTCCAGCTCCTCCGGGGGGACCCCGAGGCGTTCCCAGGCCAGCCGAGAGACATAGTCCCTCCAGCGTGTCCTGGGTCTTCCCCGTGGCCTCCTCCCGGTGGGACATGTCCAGAACACCTCCCGAGGGAGGCGCCCAGGAGGCATCCGGAACAGATGCCCGAGCCACCTCAACTGGCTCCTCTCGATGTGGAGGAGCAGCGGCTCTACTCCGAGCTCCTCCCGTGTGACTGAGCTCCTCACCCTATCTCTAAGGGAGCGCCCAGCCACCCTACGGAGGAAACTCATTTCGAGCGCTTGTATCCGCGATCTCGTCCTTTCGGTCACTACCCAGAGCTCATGACCATCTTTCATACCTAGTGACCCATAATTTTGGGTTGTTTTAATAAAATGAATGAGCCTGATGAACTATGTTTTACCTTTTAATCTTATTTTATATTCAGCGTCCCGTAAGGTGACGGTTTTATTTTTTTCTCATATAATATTGCATTATTTTGCTTTTAAAATAATTTTCACATCATAGGCCTATACATTTCTTACATGGATACCATTTGAAATGTGACGTTTTCAGTGTGTCTTTCAAGATAAAACTAAACTAGAATTGCTTTTTCCAGAGAAAAATCTAAAAATGTCTCCATAGTACACAATAACAGTGGTCCTCCGCGGCTCCCGTCCCCAGCCTCGATGGTGCTGCTGTGGTGCGCGGCCATATTGTCTCTGATACAGCAGAAATCACATAGGCCGGCGTGTTAGCGGCGAGGTGTGCTATCTGTTACCACTAATGTCTTGTTTAGGGGGATCTCATTCCTTCGATTTATAAAGGGGTGAGTATGTTTTCTGGTATTTGATTAGCGGAAACACACCAGAACCTCTAGAGGTGGATGCAAATCATCATTGAACCAGAGCCATTCAGCCGATAGCAGCTAGCAGTGCATGGCCCAGGCAGAATCACAGCTTATTCACACACACACTGCAAAGTTATAACAACTCTGTAATCAGGGTGATGGGCATGAGATTTACTTCAGTGCTTGTACCCTAGACGGACACCTTTAGCCTACCACATGCCACTTGTTTTAATTAGCTATAAATCCTGGTTATTAAAATGACGCATCAGTTCGATAAACTTAGAGAAAATGTGCAATAACTAAATGACCTGTAAAACCATCAAAACTACCAAATGAATATTAATCTGCCCCTGACATTACAGAAATGTATTTCATACACACACTTAAAATTACACAAGACATTAATTATTGCAGTCATTAAAAAAGGACAGTGGTAGATAAATGAAATGAAGGCTTTGATTGGACCAGGGGGTTGTGTTGTGTTGAATGGACTCACAATTAATCGTTGTCTTCAGTATGTTCTGAAATATACCTCACATCATTGATCATTAAGGTCATGGATGGACCTGGTGATAAAATTCTGACTCTTCTAAGTATCTAACTATTATCTGTATTATTGATGTGGGAGATTATTATGGTGCACATGATTTTAATCCAGTGACTACCTGTATATCTTTTCCAGTACCACATACCCATTGCTCTCTCCAAGTCCAATATTCTGTTGGAAATAACAACTTCATCCCGTCATCTCCCCCTCTCACCTTTTAACTTCCACCACCACCTCTGCCAAGCTGTCGGACATGTCAGGACCCGTGCCAAGCCGGGCTCGGGTGTACACTGAGGTTAACACTCACCGGCCTAGGGAGTACTGGGACTATGAATCACATGTGGTTGAATGGGGGTAAGTAAATTATATTTTTAAAAATTGTAATATTATTAAGCTCTAAAAAGTCTTCGTACTTTATAGAAATCAGGATGACTTTCAGTTGGTTCGCAAACTTGGTCGTGGCAAATACAGTGAAGTATTTGAGGCTATTAACATCACTAACAATGAGAAAGTGGTGGTGAAGATATTAAAGGTAAATGACTCCATTACAAAGAACCAAAGAAAAATACAATGATTTTCCATACACAATTTCTCTTTGTTATGCAAATGTCACTTATTTTTATTTGTTGTTTTTTAATAAACATGATCATGTCCTTCTACAGCCAGTGAAAAAAAAGAAAATCAAACGAGAGATCAAGATTTTGGAGAATCTCCGAGGAGGTCCTAATATAATATCTATCATTGATATTGTAAAAGATCCTGTTGTGAGTATTGTTGGGCATGTATTCATAAATCTTGTTCTTTGCTTCAACATGTTAAGTTCTTAATTTTTGATGTAGATTTGAGTTAATAGTTTAGCATTTTAAATCATCTTTACTGTCCTGTACAATAGGGTGGTGAGACAACCACCTGTACCATCTTATCCATTTCACATTGGCTTGGTAAATACATATCTGTGAGTACGTGATCTTCAGCTGACAGCATTAGGAGATTTTACTTCTAGTTTTCCCACCTCTCCTCAAGCCCCAAATAAGTAGCTTGTAAGGCAGCAATAGACTAGTGGTAGTAATTTTACTGTATACATTTTTAGATGTGAAAATGTATAAATTCCCAATATAGTAAATTTAATACTTAAATTGTTTTGTTGTGTTTTCTGTTGTTTAACTTAGTCCTATAGTAGGCTGCATTCATTTACATAAACACACATTTGTTTTCAGTCACGAACCCCAGCTTTGGTCTTCGAACATGTAAATAACACCGACTTCAAGGTAACCAGTTTGTTTATATACAAAATACTAAATGATCTAACCTCCTTTCTTGGCATACCTGTGTTAATCTGTACACATGTGTGTATGTGATGGAGGGACATTATAATCCAGTGCTATGTCTTCGGTGTCAGAAAGTCACTCATATTCTGATTCTATCCTCAATCACTGGGACAGTTTTATGGGAATGAATCAACTCTTAATATGGTTAAAGTAGTTACTTAACTCTGTATTCATTTCCTATTTGCCTTTAGCAATTGTACCAGACGTTGACAGATTATGACATCCGGTTTTACATGTATGAGATACTCAAAGTAAGTCTGACTCTAGAGGATTTTAAAAAATTCTTCACATTTTCTTGAACTGAATGGATAAAATGCTTTATGCTTATTGTTTTCTTTAGGCCTTGGACTACTGTCACAGCATGGGAATCATGCACAGAGATGTAAAGCCACATAACGTTATGATTGATCATGAACACAGGAAGGTAAATGACAAAAACAATGGTTCGGTGTTGAGAAGGCCCACTATGTCAGTGTTTACATCTCAGTGACATATTTGAGAATGAGGGGTCTTGTGTGCTTTCAGTTGCGTCTTATTGATTGGGGGTTGGCAGAGTTTTACCACCCGGGACAGGAGTACAATGTCAGAGTCGCCTCCCGCTATTTTAAAGGACCAGAACTCCTAGTTGACTATCAGGTATACTATTGTACTGTACCTTGTCTTTTGATGTGGGGCTGTCTCTGGTCATTTATTTCACCTTGAGCTGGTGCTTGGATTTTTTCATAAAACAGCTTTACTGTATGTTTATGCTGTGGTTTGTTGTTTCAGATGTACGACTACAGTCTGGACATGTGGAGCTTGGGTTGTATGTTGGCCAGCATGATCTTCAGGAAAGAGCCCTTTTTCCATGGCCATGACAATTATGACCAGGTACTTAAACTTTTGGTATCTTTCTCACAGTTTCTGTCACATTCTCATATTGGCTGCAGCTCAGGGGCTGTGTGACTTCTGCAAGAAAAAGTCAGCAGGAGTCAGGCAGGAAGTCTAATGTGCACTCATGAGCACAATGCAGTGTTTTCTTTTTATTCGAGTACTTATCACTCCATGCCTTCATACGCTCACTAACATTGCTATGTAATAAATGTGTGATTACGGTGAAGTCCTCCCAATTACTACAAAAGGTACAGGCTGAAATTGAAAAACAATGCTTTAAAAGGACAAGACCATAAATGAGAAAGCATCAATTGAGAATTTATCCTGTAAATCTCATCAAACAGTGTGGATGTGATGCTAACCAGTTGTATTCTCCATGTAAACAAACATTTTATTTCACAGTTGGTAAGAATAGCGAAGGTTCTTGGGACAGAAGACCTCTATGACTATATTGACAAATACAACATTGAGCTTGAGCCTCGATTTAATGACATTCTGGGAAGGTAAGTAATTTTAAAGGTTGCTGCAAATCAAATAATCTCAGGACAGAACTGTAATCGGTCAGTGGATTTGTGTGTGATGTGGTCTGCCATGTTTTTTTTGGCAGACATTCCCGTAAGCGGTGGGAGCGCTTTGTCCACAGTGAGAACCAGCACTTGGTGAGCCCAGAGGCGTTGGATTTCTTGGATAAGTTGCTGCGCTATGATCACCAGGCTCGCCTAACAGCCCGAGAAGCCATGGACCATCCCTACTTTTGTAAACACCCATAACCTATTTTTCATACACTTGGAAAAATATCAAAACTTTGAATTGCTCTGAATGTAATCTTTCCACTGCAGTTCCTGTTGTAAAAGATCAGTCTCGTGTGGTCGGATCAGTCAACCAGCCCAGTGGGAATCCTGCTGTTAGTACAGCCAGCATGATTACAGGTAGGTCTGTGGTTATGTCATTAAATATATACAGACTCATTTGTACTTCAAATGATGCAGTTCATATTGGCGAATGTGGAACGGTTTAATATTTTAGACTGTACTGCACCTGAGACCTTGAAAGGGCTGAATTTCTGAAATTATTTTTTTCATCTCCAGTTTGTGTAACTTAAACAACCTCTTATGCATTTGAGGATTAAGCATTTAAAATATTATACATTATAATCTCTTGGATAGTTTTTCTCTTAGTAACACCATGCACACATTTTGTTTTTTCTGCTATATTGTGAGCTGCCAAGATGACAGAATTTCCCCAGAGATATCAATAAGTTGTCTGATAAGGGATATTATGCCTCCAAAATACAAGAGCCATTTGTTTTGTAGCCTGACCATCTGTTTGTTTGTTTTTTTGTTTGTTTTGTTTTTTTCTTGCTGTCCTCACTCAGGAATCTCTGCCTTGCCTGCATCCACTGCCCTGGGACCCCTGAGTGGCTCACCTGTCCTGTCTGCTGCCACGAACGCCCTGAGCACCCAAGTGCCCGCTGTAGCTGGGCCCCCTCAGTGACCTCCCATCCTCTCCAAGGATGGCCTGCACCCTGCCACTTCCCACCGCCAGCCTCAACTTTGAGACTAAATAGAACAACAGTCTGCTGTAGCTGCTCTGTACCAGACCAATTGGCTGGATCACAGAGGGCTGTTTAGACTTCCTCTCGCGCCAGGACTACTACCTGAAATTCACATGAATGTACACTGTAAAATACATGTGTTTCTTCAGTTGCTTTGGTGAAACTGGGAAGTATGGGTAGTTGTGCCCAGTCTGGTCTGTGAAAGAACTCTATTCCTGAGAGGTCAAGACTTACATTTTACCCTACAGAACCAAACCAAGGGCATAGGTTAGTGTTATGAGATTTTTCTTTTTTGGATTGTATTCTCCCAACCCTAGACAGATGTGAATACTTAAACTTAACATCATATGCGGTTTTAAGTGACATAAGATGGCTCCAGTATTACCAAAGGCTTATTCTCGGGAATAACAGACTGATCTTTCTTTGTGTTCCATACAAACTGTCTCATTGCAAGGCCATTAGCTACTATTTTGTAATGAACCATATTCTAATGTGTTCCTTGCCTACACTAAAAGAAACTACATATGTCTGTCAAATTATAAATTATGGATATCACTCAAATCTCACATCCTGTCTGGTTTAGTTGACGTATCTTCCAGGTGTGAGACCGTGATATGTTTGGGCATAGCTAACTTAATTTACAATTCTGATCATCATAAATCATAAATACACAAAAAATATTTTTATTAGGAAAACTATAAGCCTTTAAGGTGTTGAACTGTTGCAATGAAAAATAGACTTGAGCTAAAAAAAAAAAAAAGTGCTGTAATTGTAACATACAATTATGAAATGAGTTACCAAGAACTATTGCCAATGTGACTACTTTTTTTTTTTTTTCTGGAGACTCAGTATCAACCTCAAACCTTCCATACAGCTTGAAGGAAAGGGCTTCATTAATAATTTACCAACCTTTGAATTACTTTTGGGTTCATACCTGATTATGGTCATGATTGATTGCTAGCTGCTGTGTTCATGTCAAACAGGTGAAAAATGCAAAGGTGCCACAAAGTAAGTGAAAGCCGTACTGTACATATACCTGTATTTTTTTAAGTGTGAAATGGCATATAAAACAATATATCGATGCTTAAAAGTATGAAAGTCTTGACATCTCTGTATATATTTTTATGTGTGTATGTGAAGAACAAGTGTTTAAAAGTATTTGTAAATAAATGTTTTATTTATCAGATATTGTATTTGCTAAGCGTCATCCTTTCCCCATGTCCATATCTTGACTGTCAACTTTGTGATACTGCGGTGGACTATTTCTCCTGCACAAGACACCACAGCAATCTTCATTCTGGTAAAACCTGCAAAGCAACTTAACATTAAACCATGTCTTTATGCATTTATTGGCAAAGTATTTCACTGGATATCATAGTTTCTTACCGGTTAAGACGCAGCTCCTTGTCTATATCTTCCAATGATTTACCTTTCGTCTCTGGAAGTATTTTGCATAAAATAGCTGCAGCGACCACTGCTATTGTCCCGTAAAGGAGAAAGAGTCTTGGGAGTCCTATGGCATCTAAGGAATGACAACATGCATGTCATTAACCGGTGTTCAATTACCCTGAAACAGGAGCTACAATATTCTGATTGTTGAGCCTCGGTTCAGTGTAAAACGTCACCTATTTTTATTCACAAATACTGTAAGAAGTTAAACAGGATATGAAAATAAATTACATAATATATATCAGTCTAAATGGTTTCAGCTGCATACACAATGAATTTGTAATGTTATCTCTCACTTACTACACTTTCTACATTAAATTGATGTTGGAAGTCATTGGAGTAAAAACAAGTGAAGTGCTGAAGTTAGAAAGGTTTTTACCAATAAGATGTAAAAAGGTGAATGTAACCAGCACATGGGCAGACCAGTTAAAGCAGTTGGTAAAGGCAAACGCGCGGCCTCGAACCTCTGTGGGAAATATCTCACTGAGGAGCAGCCATGTCACTGTAGGCACACAGAAAGCTTCAGTATTAGCACATCGAACATGGTTTAGTTTTCATTTGTGTTTCTGGGCTTTGTGTATCAAGAGCTGATTCATCAGGAAATAGAAATGAATCACTTTAGGAATTTAAAGGTGCACTGCGTAACTTTTCAGTTGGGGGTCCACTATCATAGAGATGCTATTACTTTGCCTCTTATGTTCCACAATATGGTATTAAACTTACATAAGATGCATTTACTTAAGTGTGGGTGTTTTTATTGCTCAAAATACCTTTGAAGTTTTAATGCCTTACTTTGGAATATGGCAATGGAATAAAGCAATAACATCTCCATGAAGACATGTTTCTGCCAGAAAAGTTACACAGTGCACCTTTAAGCTAATGCCTGCCCTTTTAGCACACCTACTTTCACTTAGAGTCCACTGATAAACTGATAATTCCTGCTTCTAAATAAAGCTGCCTGCTGACCATGGTCATACTGTAAATGTCTGAGACTGAAGACTGTGTGACTTTGTCTGGAATACATAATGAACTGTTTCTAAGATTGACTGGTGTAATGTGCAACAAGACACACAGAACTAAGTAACAAAAATTATAACAAATTAGCAGACTATTACATGGCAAAAATCTAGCATGCATGCTGTCAAATACTTAATAATTAATACCCACTAGGTCCAAATCCAATGGAATATGAGCTGACAACCGCCATTAGACTCAGGAGAACAACCCAGTTTGCAGCTGTAGTATTCAAAGGTGATGACACAGAGGGCTTTACGTCTGGTCTGGTTCCACTATTTATCGTAGTTTCATTAAAGTACTCAACAGGTATATGTGGTTCATGTGTTTCTGTAATGTTCGTAAGTGACATTACACCTTTTGAAACACAGGCCATCTCTTGAACATGAAAATGTGTAGAAAAAAGTCCAACGATAATCAAGCTAACAGCCATGACAGAGCATCCACCTATGAGCAGAGGACGACGGCCAACTCTGTCTGAAAGTGTCATGGAGAACAGTGTGGATAAGACTTTGACCAGCCCCAGGCCCAGTGAGGCCAGAACCGCTGCTGTGTGACTGTGGAATCCCAATGTGTAGAATATAGTGGAAGCATAGAGCAAGACATTGGGCTGTCCTGTGAACTGCTGAAACAGCACTAAAGCCAGACCAATCATAGTTCTCGTTCTCATGTTGTCCTTCGTGTGGAAAAGAGACAGGTAGTTATACCTCCTGGCAGACTCCTGGTTCATTATCTGAGCACAGTTAGACTGAGTGTTTGTAGGAAGACACAATAAGGAGACTAGCTGAACCACAGTGGGCACTGCAGCCAGACCAAACATCCATTTCCAACCATCACGTGTGTCAGCCATCATGTAGTTGACGGCATAGGCCACTAAAATCCCCACAGTGATCCCCACTTCGTACAAGCTCACCAGAACACCCCTGTGCTCTGGTCGCACTAGCTCTGACACAAAAATGCAACAAGACATAGAGGAGATACACATGGCAAAGCCCACAATGGCCCGCCCCAGTACCAGGGCAGGGAATGCATTGATGAGGAGCAGGACTGTCCCAGCCAGTGTCAGACCAGTGCTGAAGAGAATGGATTTTCGACGACCTTGCCAGTCAATCAGAGAGCCCCCCACTACTGACGCCAACAGCCCTCCGACCAGTAAGGCACTGACGAGAGCCTCTTGCTGCACACAGGACAAGGAAAAGTCCACCCTGAGTTGCAACAGAGCACCAGAGATGATAGCCAGCTCATACCCGAACACCACACCACCTCCGCTGGACACCAGGCAGGGCAGTAGGAGGCTACAGTAACCTGCAATTAAAATGTATTATTTGTAGGGAAATACTACATTTATAAAGGTCTAAATGATAGTTATAGCAAGTGTATAGCCTATGTAAAATTACATTAACCAAAAAAAAAAAACATTTCGTTTTTTAAGTATTTAGGTGAGTACACCCTAATTTAACAAGTCTTACCCATAATTGTTTCTTTTCATGAGATTGAGGACAGGATCTACAGAAAGAGACAGAAGCAAAAGGAAGTAAACATCATAAAATGTCCTTTTCATAAAGAGCTGTAGAGATGGCTGCAGCTGTTGTGGTTGTGTTGCTATAGGGATTGTCTTGTTGACATCAATGATTTAATTTTGACTCCACTTGAAATGGGCCCAATCAAACACAGAAACCAGAAAGGTGAAAACACGAGGAGGCAACATCTTACAAAACAGACTATGTATGATCTTTGCCAATAAGATCATACATAGTCTGTGTCCTGAAACAATGCTCTAATACAGCCTATTTCAAGTCAAAGTCCCTAATAAAAAAGTAAACTAGCCCACGTTTTTGTCTAGGGCCTACGTCCTCATTTAGGCTATTGTTTAGATTAAGTAGCTTACATTTTTACAGTAGTAAATACAGAGTACAGCCTAGTACAAGTTACTATACAAATAAACAAAAGTGTTTTAAAGATTGAACTACACGCATGTACTTTCCACAAGAATTCAGTCCCATCTTTCACTTCTACATGCCTTCTGAAGACAACTAACAACCATTGTTTTGGAGTTAACATAATAACTACCCTCTGTGAGTACAGTGTCTACCTTCAGCTTGTCTGGAGGAATCCTTGGTGGGAGGACTCTAGTGGTCCCGTTACAGGAGCCCGTTCTTCAGAAAGCCTATCGTCTGTCCGGTCTCGTACACATATGTACCAAAACATTTCAGTTTAATCGCATGTGCTGGAGTTGATGCCACTTCCGTGCCCACATGCGACTCTCTAAATTCTAGACGAAGGATCGAGCTACGTGGCGCCGGAGCCGGACTGAGAAACTATTGAGGAAGTTTTGAACAGCAGAGGTCGACACTCCTCAGGAGCACATCTGCGGACGCACAATCTCTGGTACGCACTCGTCTTCATTTTTTCCCTCACTTTCCTCCACACCATTTCTTTGACTGTTTTTCAAATTTTTAGGTTAATTATTAAGTTTGTAGATAAAGACATTATAATTTCCGGAATGGAAGGGTTTTGGAACTTAATATAATTACAAGTTGGAATTATTTGGGCTTGACCTACAAAAGAGTGGTATCAATAGGCTATAGGCTATTAGATTTATTATTAGTATTAAGTGGTGCATAAACATCTACCAACATATGGCTAGTAATGGCTAAAATACTAGTAAAATCTATTAATACTTTTGATGTAATTTCTGATTCTTATCGGCAGGTGTCGCTCTTTAAAGAACAGATTGAGGGGAAGACCGGAAGTAAACATGTCTCTAGAGCGGAGCATGGAGGTCGGAGAGCTCCTGGCGAAGGCAGAGTTGCTGAAACAGGGGGCAGAGGCCCGCCTTTACCGCACACGCTTTCTTGGAAAACCGGTCATCGTTAAAGAGCGGTTCTCAAAGCGATACAGACACCCAGCGCTGGACGAGAAACTTACGCACCGCAGGACCGTGCAAGAGCTGCGCGCCATACTGCGCTGCCGTAAAGCAGGCGAGTAGAGAGCATGCAACTTAACACTGAGGAAACACTGACATTATCACTAAGACCTTGTTTGGATTTTAAAGTTGCGGCAGACATGATTATTTGTTTTAATTGTTCTGTTTTGTATTTGAATAGGAATCATTATAGGGTATTTGATGTTTTCTGTCCTTTTCAGGAATTCCTGCCCCTGCCGTCTATTTTGTTGACCATAACACCCACTGTATCTTCTTGGAGGAAATTGTGGATTCCTGCACCGTTCGGGACCACATAGCCTCTACACAGCAGCAGCCTGAGGGACAGGAGCAGCTTGAGCAGCTGGCTGAAAGAATAGGCCAGATGTTGGCTCGAATGCATGATGAGGACCTGATCCACGGAGACCTGACCACGTCTAACATGCTCCTCAAACACACATTTCAGACGGAGCAGAGAGACACCTCCTGCTAATAGACTTTGGCTTGAGTTATATCTCTGCTCTAGCTGAGGACAAAGGGGTGGACCTGTATGTTCTGGAGAAGGCGTTCCTCAGCACACATCCCAACACTGAGGCGCTGTTTGAGAGGCTGCTCAAAAGCTACACCAAGGCCTCCAAGAAGTCCGAGCCTGTCATTAAGAAGCTAGATGAGGTGCGGTTACGAGGGAGGAAAAGATCCATGGTTGGATAAGGACTAAGTCTATGTAAATAAATTTGGTTGGATTTATTTCTGTTAATAAAGTTTTTTTGGTGTGATTACCATTTTTTGTTTTGCTTTTGTTATATTCTAAAACAAAAACAAACAAAAACATATTGTCTTTCTCAATTTCTCAAATGAATGATTACAAGGTCTGTTTCATTTAAAACTGAATGAGAAAGTGGTTGGCATACCTTTTAACCTGCACTGGCTAAACCTCCAGCTATGCACTGACCAGGATCTCTGTTGTGGGCTTTGAACTACGCACGTTAAACAAATTAATATGCAACTTTCCCCCCACAATAGATAAGTACAGAGGAGCAGTTGTATTTACACATCTCATAAATAACACCAACAGTGGTAAAATTTATACGATACAACGTTTAGCTTAGTGTATATATATATATATATATATATATATATATATATATATATATCTTGCATTACATGATGGCTGTGTAAGAATGGCACTCGAGTAGTCTTTGCTGATTGAGGGTAGTTCAAATATTTTTTTCTGTGTGGTGCATACTAGAGGCCAAAGTTCAGGTAGAACAAAGGTAGCAAGCTGCCAGTGGAATGTGTATACCAAGCCCAACAACAGGTGTTGTCTTAAGGACAAGAGGCAAGTTTTTCACTATGCTATAAAAAAGGTGGGCACCAATGGAACTTCAGTGGTACATCATTTTTACCGCACTTTTGTTCTACTGTAAAGGTAAGAGGACTATTCCTTTGTTTTATAGCTTCCCTAATGCAACCAAGTGTTTTGTTTCTTAGCTGTGCAGCTTGCACAGCAGACATTTCCTGAAATTGAATATGTAAAATGTGTATTTTGCATTTGTGCTCACCTAGCACAAAGTCATTTTCATTTTAATTTATTTTGGGTCCAAAGATTTACGTAATTACCCTAACAGGATAGACTAACTAGTACCCTATTTGTTACAGCTGTCTCCAGCAATGCTGCATTCTACAGTGTCTTGAAAGGGTCAGACGTGACCCTTCTTTGTTTATCTACCAAACTGCCACTGCTGCTGGACTGGAGCACTGTCACTGTGGAGTGGACCAGAGTGAATGCACAAGGCCAGAAGCAAACTGTGTACATTTTTGTAAATGGCCGCTCTCACGTGAACAGAGACGGAGCTGATGTGAACAGGACAGGGCTGCTGAACAGAGATGCCTCCCTGAAGCTCCACAACATAACTGTTGGGGATGAGGGACATTACACCTGCAGAGTCATTACACCTGTTGTGGACACACTCACTGCCACTCTGGAGGTTTTTGGTAGGAAGCTGTCTCTGACAACCAACTGGCATGGCACATGAATTAAATAATACTGTACATTATATTTACTTCACAATTAACAATACTTAACTCTATTAAATACATTGCAGTGTTTTATATGCAAATGAAATATTAACTTACTAAAATTGTATTTTGATTGATTCATTCATGTTTGAGTAATCCTGCAGTGTCTGCCATTTAAGGCTTAAGTGCTCAAAAAACTGATCCCTTATACCAACCCACACCCCTGTACTTAGTTCCAAATATTTGCAGAGTTAAAACATGTCAGGTGGACACTAAGTGAAAATCTCCTGGTTACTATCGTGACATTTTCCTCTGCAGAGGTGGGACCTGTGAGCTTTCAAGTTTGAACAGGGAGTAATTGTCCCACTTCTATTATAAAGCCATTTTAGACAAATATGATTTACATAGAACAAAATGTAAAATGATTGTCTACTCATGCTATAGTTTGGTAATAAGTAACAAAACTACTACTGAATATAATACTATAATTGAAGTCATACAAACATTTGTCATTTACTCCTTTTTTACTTGTAATAATCTCATCAGCCACATCTTTCTTACAGCCCGTCCTTCAGTGTGGATCCCAGAGAAGGCTGCCATTGCTCGTGGAGAGGAGAAGATGATTGTGTGTGATATTCAAGGCTACTATCCCAAAGCGCTGACTGTCAGCTGGCTCCTACACAACAACTCGCACACTTCTCCCTATAGGGCCAACCATCTCTATCGGGTTTGCACTGAAATGGAAGTACTCCATGCAGATGGGACCTACAGTATTCGCAGTGGCATCACAGTGCATTCCTCTGTGCTAAAAGATGATCAGATCCAACTAGTCTGTCAAGTGGAGCATCAGACCTTTCATGGCCCATTCAACATCTCTGTTACTTTAACTCAAGGTGCAAAACTGTGTACACAATATGCATGTGCTCTGGGTTCACAATATCTGCATAAAAATGCAACTAAAACATTAAAAATGCCAGTTGTGCCGATTCCAGAAGTGACCTTCTGGCTGACTCATAACTATTTCCTGCTGCTGTGTGTTAGTATAAAGCTATCAAGGCAAGAAGAAAAGTGTAAAACAATGATTTACCTCTCGTTGCAGCTCCTTCCGAGCACTATAATGCTGTCATCTTGATGGCTGGTACCAGTGTGGCCAGTGTCCTGCTGGTTCTGGCTGCAGTTGGAGCAGTGTTACTTCGCTTTTGGTATTCCAGGAGAAAGGCAGTGTGGCATGGTATGTTTTGGCTTCAAACATGATAATGGTACATACTGCTACATATTTTAAAAATGAGACAGACATGGAACTGAATAATAATTTTTCAAATTTTTTACAGTTTGAAATAGAACAAAAACTTAAGTTTTTATCTGTCTTCCATCAGTTTCACCAAACATTTCTGAAATTTGCCAACCCAGTGTCACATATGCAGATGTTGAAAATGTCCTCAAGTGCATGATCAGTGGTGTGGGACCAGAGGAGTTCCAAGTCCAGTGGTTTAAGCTGAGTAGAGACAGCGCAGACACTGAGGAGGCCGCCCTGCTGTACTGGGAGGATGTGAATGAGCGAGCCAGTCTAGAGTCAGATGGAAGTCATCACACATCTGTTCTGAGCCTCTGTCTGTCCACCAGTGAAGACAAGAGCAGGTACAGATGTGTGGTCCACTGCAAGAGCAAGACTTTCACTCGAGAGACAACAGTCCATGTTAAAGGTGAGATGGTCAAAAACATTTTTATATGATTGTACTTTTGTTACTGCTGTATTTTGTATTGCAATGCTGAAATCCCCCCCATTATGGGACAAGCAACAGGTTCACATAAGGTTAGTTTGTGGGTATAACCGAATAAGATTTTTCTTATTTCTTCTTCTCAATATCACTTCTCATTTCAGCTGAGGATGTAAAGTAGATTTTATTTCTTCACTATAGTTATATGAGCTCTACACAATTACTTCAACAAATGTATCTTTGACATCAGTTCCTTGAAAAAATTAACAGCATCTTCTCCTCCTTCTGCAGTGCAGCCCTCTTTTCTCCAGATCTCTAGTATCCCTCAGATCCCCAAAGTCCACCGCCTTCTGGTCCTATGCTGTCGCGTGGAATACTTTTATCCTGCTGTTATTAACCTGGAGTGGTACCGGAATGATGGGGAGCCAGTGCACCCTGCCACCCACTATGGACCCTTTTCAGACCATAGCCACTTATACAGCATGTGGAGTAAGATCCAACTCACTATGGCAACAGAGGATGAGAGCGCTGTGTACACCTGTAGGGTCTATCACTCCAGCTTCCCTCCTCCAGGATACAAGGATGCTTTTTACTACATCAACACTCACGGTAAGCAATACAATGAATGGTGTGCACTATACAGGTATATCATATTCAAGATAGATAGATAGATACTTTATTGATCCCAAGGGAATTTCAAGTTTTGCTGTAACAACATTTACACTGTGCTTCTCTGAGGCTTTTGTGTCTCAGTCAAAGGTATCAGTGCAGTTTAACAGGAGGAGTGGTCAGGTAGGGTCGGCAGATCTGTGTCAGCATCACAGCAGGGTCTAGGGGAAGACTCACTCTCACTCCACTTCCATTACCTCAAAGTATTTCATCTGGAAGGTTTTCTGCTATGTTTCCTGCCACATTTGGTGTAAAAAGCCTGTAGTAGTATTTCAAAGGACCATAGAGTAATCTGTTGAAAAGAAGAAAAAGAACCTTTCTCAAACTAAAATCTTGTGTGTATCTGTTTCTTGTGTTGATGAAGGAGCTCCACCCAATGTGATGTTCATCAACTGTGAGCCTCTGTGCCCTGTACCAAACACTGAGTGCACACTACACCTGTGCATCAAAGACTTCTGTCCCAAACACATAACAGTCACATGGACAATGGACGGAGAACCGGTGGACAGCAGCTGTGTGTTTAACACCCCTCCTAGTCTTAACATGGATGGACTATATGCCATGTACAGCTTCCTCAAACTCAGCTCCACACAGGCTCAGTTTAACCATACTTACCAGTGCAAAGTGGAACACAGTGCTCAGACCCAGCCAGAGGAGCGTCTCTTCACCCTCACATACACCCCAGAGACACCACCTCATGACTCATCTCAGTCTAGTTAGGGAATCAGATCTGTTTATAGCAGATTTGTCATGTACTAGCACTACTATCAGAAAGATGTATAGGAGACTGGGGCTGAACATGATTTCACATATCTGTGCCCCCAGATAGGTGCTAAACATCTTCAAACCAATTTTTTTTTGGCTTTTACTGGTAACAATGGTAATGGTGATTTATTCTTAATTCAAGATGATTATTATCCAATTAGAAAGCAGAATGAGCCTCACGAGTCTCTCATTTGGGTTGGGAGTCACTACCTAAACCCCAGCACCTGCAGCTACACATGAATCAGTGCTAATGCAGCCTCTGCAGCTCGATGAGTGAATTCTGGAGTGTCTGAGCTTTTACATGATACATGGTCTGTTCATAAACTGAGAATGAGAAAAAAATTTAGGGATCCTCTGCATGCAGGTTAAGGTACTGGCAACCCAGGGTCAGTTTCAGTGATTAACTTTTTTTTTTAACCAGATAGAACACAGGCTACATACAGTTCCCTTAAGGTATTCAGTGCTAAAATGAGTGAAAAAATTAAATAAATGAAAAGTCCCAAATTAAAGGCACATAAATTGGTGTAAAAATTCACTAGTAATTTATTGACACTGTTCCCAACACTTCTACATATTGTAATACTACACAACATTTTAAATTTGTTATGCTCAGAGGTAAAATTCAAGGCATCAACGTGTTTATATTTCCATACATTTGTGAACATTTCCTTCTAGATTTGGTGAAAGAAACGTGTATTGCTTTTAAGTATGAAAATAAAATATCTTTAACTTTTATTAATAACCATTGTTATTTTTGTATTGTTGTTACAGTAGTAAAAAAGTGAAAATCAGAATAAAAAACTGGGCTCACATGTCAAAGGAGAACAAGACAGTTTCTCGATTTTTATGGACTTTAGAAAAGAGTAGCAAAACATGAAACATACACATGAAAAGTAACACAAAATGTATTTCGGGCAGAGTAACACACTTCACATTGTATATTAAGAACTGAAAATATAATTAAATACCTGTTTATACAGCTATTACACTGTGTTGCTCATAATTTACAGTTTTATTTATTATTTTTTACATCACCTGCTTGCATTTGGCAATTATAGTGATAGAGACATCAGGCACTAGAGTACATCTGGCAAAGTCTTTGAACTGTTAAAAAAGGGGAAAAAAGACACTAGACTAGTGGGTTTAGGTAAAGTCCCGGTTGGTGAGGATCATGGGGGCCACCAGCGTCCATATGTAGAGGGCCAGACACACCCAGCTAGAAGAGATCTTCACCCAAACGGCAGGCCATGTGCTGCTGACAGTGTAGTCCACCTCTGGGCTGCCAATAAACATACCGTAACTTTATATCTATACTGTCCCTTACATGCAAAAAAAAAATCACAGAAACATTAAGTATATACCTTAGCTGACTTAAAAACAAATGGATGGTGGTTAAGAGAGGGCGTTTACAGATGTTGGTTATTTTGCAAAAAGGAACTAGTCTAGGTATAATCATATTGCAGTACAAAAATGAAGCTATACCTTCCAGGGTACAAATGTTAAGTGAAATATATTATTTTATACCCCTCCAATGAATGTTGAATGAATGTTACCAGTATTTGTGGTATAGTTTGTAATAAATCCCTTGATACAAATAAATCTGGCTTAACATTTATCTAATAATTTGTCCTGTAAAACTTTAAAACCTAGATGTTGCCTTCATCCATAAAGCAAATGTTGTTAAAAACACTGTTTCTATGTTTTGGAGTGATTATAATTTCACCAATCACCTCAACTTTTCACATTTCATGATATTCTGTGGCTAATTCTAACGTATCCACTGAAATCACATTATGTTTCACCTTACTTTTAAAAATGCAGTGTAGAGTAAGCAGACATCCCTATTTACTCAGGACAGTACCACTTTTGAGCCCTGTGTTCCCTGTCCCAATAGATTCATCCAAAACCATTGAGTTTTATACAAGAAATTCTCAGGGTGTCTCCATTTTTAATAATTTGAAGACCACAAACTGTAAAGGGGCAACATATTGTCATTTGTTTAGCTAAAATTCAGAAAACCATGATTGAAAATGGGGCAAAAATGCACTGACATAAGTCTTTCTGATTATATAGCTGACGAGTCGAGAATGGACAATGTTACTTGCTCTTTTCACAATTTTATTCATACCAACCATCCAACCCCTTACGACCTATTGTATATTGCTGAGATATTTTATTACTTATTTCTATTTTAAGTTAAATTTATTTTTACTTGTACATATACATTTATACAGTCTCTTGCTATTTTTGCTACTTATTTAACATTTATTATTACCATTTATATAGTTTTTTCTCTTTTTTATTACAATATATTGTGATATGTGAGCTACTGTAATCAAGTAATTTCCCTTGTGGATAATAAAGTTTGTCTAAGTCTAATGTTACAGTTTTTAATTTTGAAAATCTGGTCACCCTAAGCAAGTGTGGCATGTGAGCAACACATACCTGTACCAGCTGGTGAGGGTCATCATGATGTAAAGAGAGGCCAGGAAGAGCATAAAGTGGACAAAGGAGTAGCTGTACTGCACCATGTCCTGCTCATTATCCTGGACTCGTCTGGGCCCGGGCACCTCCTCTGACAGGTCCGGACTGCTGCCACTTTCCGCAAGGATCACTGTCTCTTTAGATGCCATTGTCAGCTTGTTCACCTGGCTTGTGTTGGAGGAACGGATACTAGGAAGAGTAAATGGACACAGCAAAACAACAAAAGATGAACACATGGAAGCATTGGAACTGGAAGGTAGACAAACTTCATTGATCCACAAGGGAAATTATTTGGACACACTAGCTCACTCATGACAATATCATACAGCAAAGAGCAAGAATATAAATGATAAAACAATTTCAAAATAAGTAGCAAAATAGCAAGAGACTGGTCAAATAAGGCATGATTATATAAATGTATATGTACAAGTACAAATAAAATGTGTCCATGATGGAGAGCAGTTTGTCCAGTGTCCTCCGGTCCCTCACTGCAGAGTTATTTGAATGATAGAATGGTAAATCCAGTTCACTTATTTTCAGTATTCCAACATGGAGGAACATGTGGGACATTTTTTGATATTTTTTGGCAATTCTATAAGATTTCAGCTGTAAGGGTTGAATAAATAACTTGTATGAATCAGTATAGATAAAAACTAACTACCGTGAAGTACTACTTAGAATAGTTTTTGGGGGATTTATGGTCAGTATCATAATTTGTTTACAGTATAAGCATTTTTTGTAAGTTTTTTATAAGTCTAGTTCAGACATAAAATAAATACAGTGTAAATGTGAAGGATAAAGTGGTCATTGTGAGTATCTACGTGTCTGACACTTTTTCCATGCGGGTAGTGTCCATGTGTTAATTTTGATAAAAGTGCACTGTGCAACTTTTTGGTTGGAAGTCCATCACCTGTGTGTTTCTATGGATATGTCACTGCTCTGTCTAGAATGTTCCACAGCATGACATTAAACAGCTTTGCCTGACATTTATTCAATTACAGGTGGTTTTATAGCTCAAAAATACCAAAAAAACAGACATTCTGACTGTGAATGGGGTCGCCTCTCTTTAACTTGGTCTGTTTTGGTCTCCATGAAGATAGAAAGTTTTAATACCATACTGTGAAACATTCCAGGGAAAGCAATAACATCTCCATGAAGAAATGCTTTTGACAGACCCTCCACCAAAACACTTACACAATGCACCGTTAATATGTACCACACAGTTTTTTCTATTTTTTATTATTATGAAAAAATATGAATAATAAAATGATATGTATATTGTTGACAGATAATAGTAGATGTTTTGTTGTGTTGGTTTATGTGTTTCATTTCTACATGCTTTTGTATCCTGAGCAGAGCTAGTCTTACCTTGAATAGAGAATGCAGAGTACAAAAATAGTGAGTCCAATAATGTTCTGTGGATCCCACCACTCGAGGTAGGGGGAGGTCAGTACAGGCTCCTCGGTGCCTATGATCACCACTGCTGACTGATTCTCCATCACCAGAGGGGGCAAGGTTGGAGCTGCGATCTGCTGGAAAATACTCAACAGGCTGGGGTTACACTCACGGTCTATGGAAGAAAGGAGAGAAAATATGTATGTATGTATGAAAAGAAAGGAAAAAACAAAAATTTGTCACAAAAAAGAAAGGAAAGAAAACTATGTGAATTTTTTACTTTTCTTCAATAACATTTCCATGGACACAAACAGGTGATGGATCCTTCACTGCAAAAACTGCAAAAAGGTTTTTCTGAGTGAATTCCAATATATTCATTTAGAGGATTTTACTTGATTTTAGTAGATTTCATTTGACAAGTAAAATTATCTACCACTTGTCGTGAACCCCCCCCCTCGGTCACGGGAGAGCTCACTCGGGTGGGGTGAAAAGATGAAGGTTTTAGCGTAAGCCCCACTAAAAGGGCTCCTGAAATTCAGATGAAGATGTTCATGATGCTTTATTTTGATAAATGAATAACTGTTAGAACAATAGAGATTAAGAGTGTTTGATTTAGATATTAGAAGTGTTTTTGTGACCCATATTAACATAAGTTACTTGTTCTGTTTTGATTTAATCTGATTTGTTTCTTTTATGTTGATTTGCTTAATTCTTTCAATTTAATTTTTAAGTTTAGGTTATTTTGTATTAATTTCTGTAACTGTTATGTTTGTGTGCAGGAAAGATAAGGGCCTTCTGTTCTTTTGACAGTTGACCTTTACTTGACATTGATGTACGAAACCTGTATGTTATGCGGCGCATGGGAGGCCTGTAGACAATGCGGGTGCGAGCTTCCGGCTCCTTCGACAAGCGAGGTGGCAGTGACTTCACACCTGGCTGGGGAGGAGGTGTAGGGGGCTAGAACAGTGAAGACTGTGGTTTCTAAGAAAGTGTTGCCTGTACTTGGAAAGATGTGTGCTATATGTGACGTACTGATCACTTTGCATGTACCTGGGTGGAGTTCTGTGACCTTAGATAAATATTTAAAATTCTGCATAATAACTCAGATCCTGATTTTGGTTGGCATTGGCCCTCCGGCTGTAACTCGGCTTACGAGGTCAAGATCTCTAATTCGGACTAGGCTGTGCTTTACAGCTTTCCTGGTCACAGGGTAATTTCTCCAAAAGGGTACTTGCAAGGTGATTTGTCCTAATTATTTTTGTATGAGCTTTCTGGTAAAAATAGCGGCTACGGAGTGAGTTGGTTATAAGTGCTCTGTCGTGAGCACTCCGGGCCTAAAAACCCTGAGTGACCACGAGTATAAAGAGTGACCACCAGTCACTTGCGTGGTGCGTTAAACAATAAAAAGCAGAAAAATAAGACAAAAACAAATCACTTGTTGGAATCTTTTGTTGAGTCTTTTCCCTTAATTATTATACATATATATTTACCACGAGCAAGTCAAGTCATCCTAGGTGAGTTACTTACAAAAATGCAATGTTTTTGATGCAAAGCTAAATTTGGTTAAAGGTTTTGAGGCACTGCTAAGGATAAATTAATATTTGCAATGTTTTTGGTGTAAAACTAAATCTGGTTAAATTCTTTGAGGCATTGTCAAAAATGTGTTTTGGGCAAATGTTGTCAGATAGAGTGTAGAGCATTTCATAGGATGGTTTCTAAAGCTAAGTGAAGTTGTAAGTGTTCCCCAGGTGATACTTTAAGAGTTGTTAAAGTTACCTGTATGGTGTTTCTTAAAGTTAAATGATCTTTTTGAGTGTAGTCAAATATTTACCTTGTGTTATTGAAGAAATGATATTTTTTGAGTGTAGTAAATTATATTTTTGAGTATACATTGTGTCTTTAAAGCTGAGTGATTTTCTGAGGGTTATTACAGTGATTAGAAAAAAGGTAGTGAGGTCCAGGCTGCGTAATTTAGCCCTGGTCCTTTCAACACCACTGGAATAAGTATTTTTTTCTTAAGTCAAACAACATACAATTTAGTTTCTTATTTTAAGCTGTAATTTTTCTTCTTTCTTTAATTTTCAAATATAAAAAGACTTTAGAAGAATTTTACTTGTCATGTGAAATGAACTCAGCTCAATATAACAATTAATTCAAGTAATTTTAACTTGATTTTAGATTTTGTAGTGTAGAAATGTTACACATTTATTGTTACACAATAAATAAAACTGAGTACTTCATCCACCACTGTTGCACATATGAGGTTGATGATGTGTTCTTAGTAACTTGCACCCACCAGGCTCATTGGTCATTGCGGACCAGGTCAGAAACATGGTGTACAGGGTGATGATAGATGACTGGAGGAGACCTGAGCGGGGCTGACTCTCCTGCACACAGACAGCTCAGTTTGAATCCATTCATCTCTTCATGCCACTTCACCCACTGCTGCTACAGATACTTTGCAGTGACAGACATCATGCTGGGGGTGTTCTACATGTTCTACAATACTGGCAATGTGTTCATCAGTTACCATGGAGATAAAATACACACATTAGTTTTAAAAACGCTCTCCTTGGGGTCACATTGACCCGAAGAAAATTTTTTTTCCTTCTCACTCTCTTGGGGCGGGTCAATCAGACGCAAAAATGTATTTTCAAATACATTCTCGCCAGGCGAGAAAATAAAATTTTGTGTCTTATTAACCAGCCCCAAGAGAGCGGGAAGGAAAAAAAAAATTCTTCGGGTCAATGAGACCCCGAGGAGAGCATGAGGGTTTTAAGATACTCCATAAACTCATGAAAAATACAAAATGGACTTAAACAATACATTTTCAGGAGCCTGTGATCATTACGAGTGTCCATGGTCGTGCTTAGGTGTTTGATTTTTAACAAAAAAGGTGAGAGTGATTAACTGAAAAATGAATGATAGCTAGGCTGTGACTGTAATTTTATGTGTGAGAGACTCTTTTTGGTCAGATTGTTTTAAAATGAAGCTCAGATTAAAGTCTAATTTGGGAAACAGCATGTCTAACAAAGCAGTCCTTTCAGTTAGCGTCACACCCCCAGGGAATGTTGATGGCATCAGCTGCAAAGTACTGATATCACACTATTTATATGTCAGTCAGTACCTGGACTTTAGGCAGAATGGAGATGACAGAGGCTACAATACAGAGCAGCATGTTGGAGCTAATGAAGAATTTGTTGAGATGACACTGGCCAGGTTTTGTGTAGAACATGAAGCACATGATTACAGACACCACTGACAGCAGGTAGTTAAAGATTGTCACTGACAGTAAGGCTGCAACAAAGCACACAACAACAAAGGAAAACAAAGGTACTGTAGGAATCACCAGAGATTGGGTCATTCTCAACATTTTTACATGCTTTAGGTTGTGATATCTCATGACTGAATTCACAAAATGTTGGAATTATTACACACTATATAGATACTATCAAGCTATAGAATGTTATTTTTACACACACAAAAGAGCAGCAGAAAGACAGAGACTATAAATTAATCTACTTATTGACAATAGTTACAACTGTATAGGTCTACATGACACTATTAAAAGTCTACATTGAGACATGCGCTAAGACAAATTTGGTTGTTTTATTCATTTATTTATTGATTTTTTTTTACACACTCTTGTTTGGTTTGTATTAGAGCTCACTGAGAAGGAGCATTTCAGTCACTGCTGGTAATTGATGATGGATTATATAGAGCATGTCATAAATATTTTTGATGCTGCTACTAGATATGGTGGATGCATTTGTTCAGCCCATCACTAACCTGCATACCAGCCCCTGGAATTACTTGCATCCATGTTCCTCACCCAGGCCTCATTCCAGGAGTGGGCAAAGTCAACCAGCAGAATGAGCTGTATCAGGATGAAGAAGGCTCCACCACAGCCAATTATAAACCACACTACAACACAAAGTAATAATAGACACTTTTGCTATTCACCAGTACTTATAAGCTACTCCTTTTTACAGAGTGGCTGAAACCAAGTAATACATTTGTTTATTTGTGTAAACATAATAAAACAGAGTTCTTACCATATGTAAAGGGCTCATCTGGGATGTAGAAGGCACCCGCTATTATTGCCACTAAAGATGCAAACTTAAAGAACCAAAATCTAACAAACAGAGAGAAAGAGAAAGAGAGAGAGATACACTGAAGTGAAATAATTAACAATAAAGACATATGACAGAACACTAATACATATATAACTAATTATCTGATCAATAGTTTGGCCATATTACTGCATTAATACGTTTCATGTGAGGAGATAACTTACCCATTGTGTATAGCAGCTCGAGGGTCTCTGCTATTCCTGACATTTATCATGAAAACAGACAGCCCCAGGAACCACATGCTCATGCCAAAGCAGACCCGGTACACAGCTTTGTAACCGACAAACATTTTACAGTTGATATTAGCCTGTAAATCTGGTACCGTGGAGCCTGTACCGTCTTCACAGAAACCCGGGATCTGCACAAAACATACATGAGGTCTTCAGTCAATGACAAAAATACTTTCATTTAAAATACTCTTAAAGCCAGTTTCAATAACTAGACAAAGCACTTGTGTTTGACCTGTTATAGCCTATATAACTATCATCAACTTCCCATACATATTCTGAATGTGTCCTTATACTGCCATGCATTATGGATCAACAGAAAAACAAATACTAACTAAAACTATTTGACTAGGCATTCAAACATGTAGTTTAATTATGAAGTATAATACTGAAAATTACTTGTATTAAAGGTGCACTGTGAAACATTTCTAGTGGAGGGTCAGCCACCTGTTTGTCTCCATGGAAATGCTATTATTTTGTCTAGAATGTTCCACAGTGTAGATTAAATCTATCACAAGGGAGACAGGCAGGTTACAGCACTATGCTACATTACAATTCAGAGCCCTTATTTACAGAAGGAATTAATGTATTTTTGAGCAATAGAAATGCCCGTAATAAATAAATGCTAAAATGCTACAAGCATATGTTTAATGTCATAACATGGAACATTCCGGGTAAAGCAATAATATCTCTATGGAAACAAGAAATGCACCTTGAAGAATTTACCAAAAGTGACACAGCCATTAAACTATAAGATAAAGATAAGATAAAATAGGCCTGTTTAATTGAACAGTACCCCTGAAAATTATGAGATTTTTAAAATTGTGTTTGATATTAGGCCTGTCACAGTAACACATTTTGAAGCATGATATATTGCTACAGAGAATATAACAATAAATAATAATACTGAAATTACTTTATACCACTGACACCAAGCGAGACAGTCCCAGTAAACCATTTTATAGATATACAGTACCATTAAAAGGCTGTGAAATAATAACTAGTGATAGACAGTATTCATTATACGAAACCTGATCATTTTTATTACTGACTTGGCCCAAGACTGTGCTGTATACAACAAACATCTGCAGTTGAATTATGCAGTTCAATATTTATTTTAGATGCCCTCATCTGTATTAAAAAATATTGGCCAATAGAATGCTGTGATGCCATCTGAAACTCATTGTGACAGGTCTAATTTATATACCCTCTTAAGTTGTTTATCCACGCCTGGAGACAGCATAACACAGGCAACAATAGTCCCGAGCAGCAGGAAGAAGGCATAGATGATCCTGGTGACGGTGGAGTTTCTGCTGTGGGGGCAGCAGCTGCATATGAGACAAGTGGCACTGCTGCACAGGCACGGCACCTGCAGGTGATGACAAATACACATGACAAATAACTACAAAAACAAGCACACAATACTGTTAAAGGGCCCATATTACGCAATTTTCTGATCCATGTTATAATATTTCCACATCAAAAACAAGTGTGAATGTAACAAAACACAACTCCAAGTACGTTCTTGAGGAGGTAACAATATTCTAACATGACTCAAAGCTCAGCAGAGTCATTTTTTTGTAATAATGAGCATTTAATGTTGTTTCCCTAAAAACATGAATGGCATTTTTAAAGCAACATCAAATCTCTTCACAGCTATGAAGGTTAGCCAGACCTAAGAGTCAGTTTTGAATGAGAAAATTGATAAAAGCACTTATCAGAAGTGTTATGAAAAAGTAAATGTGTAACCTTCAGAGGCACATGACATTGTTTCATGGTACTGCTTTGTAAAACTGGTCAATGTGAAGAACCTAGTTACATGGTGTCATCTGACATTGCTTAACGCATAGTCAAATCAGTTATGTAGTGTATCCTGATATGTTGTTAAGTAAGTTTACTTGCAAATGGGGTAACTCTGTCTTACTTTAAATACTGGCTTATTATGTGCTTCTTTTCAACAGAAAAAGGTGTACACTGTTGAGGGGGTTTCTGGATGTCTTTACCTATTATATTAAAAATAACATGGGCCATTTGGAGACATGTCCTTACCAAAGTTTCATGATAACCAACTTGTCTCCACCAATCAAAGTGACTGCCTTACTATAGTGAAGTCTTACTCAGTAGGTCAGAGTGTCCTAAAAACTCACGCCAAATCACTGGCTTGATCCAAAACAATGCCACTGACTAATAATGCAGGACTTCTCAAACATGTGTGAATGAAACAAAACACAACTCATGCTTGTTTTAGATGAAGTAGCAAGGCTTTAACAAACTTAGAAGCTCACAATAATACATTTTGTGCATTATAGAACTTTTAAGCTATTCATGGGCTCAACTTCTTGTTCTGCAACATTTTTTCTCATTCAAAACATATAATATTCAGTTTTTAATAGTTCATTGATATGGCAACAGTCATTTTTCATCATTCTGAAAAGCAAGGCCTATTACTGCTGCTTATTTTGCAGAACTCTATAAATGTGCACTTCTACCTTATATAGCCAACAAATAATCACGTGCTTTGATTCAGATTTTAGTTATAAATGACCAAGAGGACTTGGCGCAGGAGTCCAAAGATAAGAAGAGCTACAAGTTAATGCTCCTTGAGACAGGCCAGATTAGACTGCTTTCTGGGGCACAGCACATGCGCATGCAGTCTAACAATTAAACTAGCGATATTTCTGTTCTGTTATTAGTAAGCCTTCAATATTGGGAGGTTGTGATGTAAGATACAAAGATGAAGAATTGACTGGATTTTCAAACAGCAAAAATATCTAACTCCAAGACTTGCCAATTGGTAACGGGAGAATTCTAACCTACATAATATTTTGGCGTATTATAAATAATTACACATAGGCTACTACTGTTCCAAATAAGCTGTTTAAGGAAACCATTACAGACGTACAATAGTTGTGCAGTGTACTTAGCGTTACAACAACAACCACTAATCCAATTAATCACGTGGAAGCAGATGACCTAGTGTGTTATGGTTGTGCCTAACTTTGAGGAGTCAGATCACAGCATTTCATTTACAATATACCGAAAAGCAAAATGAAATGTAAGAAGGTCTAGGCTACATTTTCTTTTACCTCTTGACTGTAAAACTGAGCCTACAAAAGAGCCGACAGTCACAGGTCGTTCCTTTTTAACCCATAACTATCCACAAAGAGCTACTTTAACCTGAAGATGACTTACCCAGGCTGCGAGTGAGAAGGCCCCCAAAACAGCCCCCATAACTGGAATTCACAGACACACACCCCGCGCGCCTCGCACAGCTCTACCTGCTCATGGATCTATTAAAATAACCTGCCCCACCCCTCTGTCCGCTCCTCTATCAACTCCTCTGTCCGCTCCTCTATCAACTCCTCTGTCCGCTCCTCTATCAACTCCTCTGTCCGCTCCTCTATCAACTCCTCTATCCGCTCCTCTATCCACTCCTCTATCCGCTCTTCTATCCACTCCTCTATCCACTCTGCCGTTCAGGGACGCGCTCATGCGCTCCGCTCAAGTCCGCGCTCTGCGCAGTGACGTCATCGCGCGTGTATCCTGCAGTGACCCGTATGCAGTGACCCGAGGGTCACTAGAGTAGGTCTATCTAATTTATTTTCCTCATCCTCAGTTCAAGTTGAAAGAATAGACTCTCCAAATAGTTAATGAGCCCACCACCTGACCTGACTTTTTTCGGCTGCAGCCTATGGACCAGTGTTGTGGCTGCGAGTGGCTCTTACCGGCCACAATAAGATTCAGGTTTGTGGAGATGCAAGCCCGCGCGAGTAAAGATGTGTAATAAACACAACGAAAATGAAGAATCGTGTTTTTATTTTGGTCTAATTTGGCGCAAAAAGCTTTAATTAAAGAGCTGAGATTAGTGTTATCATGTTTATATGATAGATCATCGTTGTGGATGAAGGAATTAGAACTAGACTATCATAAAAACCCTCAAGCTGAAGAAATGTGGTGACCTTGACAGTTTGTAAATATGTGGAGCATATTTAGATCTGATTAGATAAAAAAGTTTGAGGGGTCACTGTGACATGAAAACAGTAATGGAAGACTCAACAGTGTGGGCTCCATGTTCCGATGTGAAAAGTAGAAACCAAGGTCACGGTAGAAAAAATGTGGTTGTTATACTGAATTTAAAAGTGATGTCATGAGCATGTCTGTCAAAAGCTCACATACTGCATTTACATCGCACATACAACACTTTTGTCTTGCAAATCCACTTCAAAAGCTCACACATATTACTTATACTTCACACGTGCATCGATCACTTCTTGCGCATGCACATTCAAAAACCACACACATACAACTTCTCTCTTAAACTTTGGGCACTAACATTCAAAACTGTGATGTGATATGTGTTCGATAAATAAATGTTATGGCAAGGGAAAGTTTTTCAAAATAAAACCAAAAATAAGAAAATGAAAAAACAACTATTTTCTTTATTATTTGTCTCCAAAACCAAAATGAAAAAAATGGATAGTGATTCGTTTTTTCAGTTTTCGATTTACTAAAACAGGATTAAAACAGGACTGAGTGACGGACGGGCCTAGAGATGCACCCGCGTAGACTGGTGGGTGATCAGGACTAAGACCAAGACCAGACCAGGACCAGACCAGGACTGAGACCGGTGTTAGATATTATGTTTCTGATTATTACTGTGTAAAGGTGGTCTGGTCTGTGAATCCTACTCCATCAATGAGCACTTGGAGCAGGCATGTCCAAACTACGGCCCGTGAGCCAAATGCGGCCTTCAGACAAATTTTTCTTGGCCCTCAGGCTTCCAGGTGAATTGGCCCAAATTACCTTACATCATTAAAAATTTTACTTCTTACTGCAAGCTTTTGGAAAATCTACCTTGATAAAGTGAATATTTAATATTTATTGTGTGGATTTAAGGATCTTAGCATGAGCCATCAGTATTTATTCATGCTAAACGTGTTAAACATCCACATATTTCAATTATTCA